CAGGGCGGCAGCCGAGCGCGGGGCCGTGCCAGGAGCCGCAGGGGCCGCGCGAGGGGCGGCCCGGCCCGGGAGGAGGATGAGCTCCGAGAGGCGCTTCTGCGCACGTCGGGATCCAGGGCTGTGGGAACCGCCGGCCGAGCTGCGATCTGAGGAGGTGTTCCCAACGCTCACGTCATCTTCCGCCCCGCGATAGCCACGACACCGGGGCGGGGCCTGTGGCGGGGGCGGGCTGGTGGTGGGCGGGGCCTGTGGCGGGGCGGGGCCTGCCTGCGCACCGCCCCCTGTTCCTCTCGAGCTGCCCGTCGCCTCGAGGCTTCAAGGTGCAGAGGAACGGGCCAGTCCACCGCTTCCACACCCAGGTCTCATGCTGCACATAAGTAAATCTGCAGCGGCATGTTTGAGCCTCTGACGACTTAACGTTTTCTCAGAGCCCTTGTAGAATTGTCAAATTATTTCATATTGCGGTGTCCTCCACCCAAAGCAGAAAGGAGAGGGCCCCCGCCACGCTGCCAGACGTGATTGTCTGTGTTACTTATATATATAGGGCTAGCTACCCTCATTTCTAGACTGTATTTTCTTAACTCGTTTGTGATACAAAATTGGCATATTCCTGATGTCATATATTTATTCGCATGTAATTCAAGTGTAACCGACATGTAACCACTGGATAAGCACATTTTTAGGATCTAGTCTACATCACAGTCCTTATAGTGGTTTCTTGTTTGTCTTCACTTTCATAAATTTGATTTTTAAAGTATTATTTAGGCAAAAGCTAACTGAAGCGTGCTAAGTGCTACTTCCTTGAGTATTTTTTTTTAATCAAGCTTTTATTTAAAGCAGTTTGCACCTTTAAAAGCTATTGGGGGAAACTGGAAATTATGTCTCTCCAGTAATTCTTATTGCTTCCCATAACCAACTATACAAAAATCTAAATTGCACCATCAGTGCCTTAGTTGTTTAAGACAATACATATACTGACTTGAGAGTATCTTATATTTGTGGGGAATACTTCCTATTCTGTTCAGGTTTTGTTCCATCCTTGTCCCTACCAACACTAACTCCAAAATTTCCTAAATATATCTTTCTCATCACTCAAAGTCCTCTTTAGCTCTTCTCTAAGAGCCCTTAGGTATATGACAAGATTGCCCACCTTTCCAAACATTTTCATGTGTTTGTTTCAAAATAGTTGATTATCTATTGAATCATTTTAGCTTTTTCTTATCTTTAGTAGATCATAAATCTCTCCCATTCTATAGTGTTTAATACAGTTCCAAGTTTGTGTATTTGGTGGAATATCAAAATTGCTCATTGAAAATTTTTGGCTAGTGAACACGGTGGTGCATATTTGTGTTTGCTTGTGTGTATGCTTACACACTCTTTGTAGTCCCATACCATTTTTACTCAGTAGCAGAACAACTCTAACCCTGACCCATCCACAAGTTCCTGAGTGTTGGAGGGTAAAAATTCAGATAGCTCAGAACTATAGACACCACTTTAATCTGAAGTCTTTCTCAAGCTTCTGGGTTTAGGTGATTCCTTATCCATAGGACTCCCACAGGGGCTGCATTAATTTCTTAGATTCAGGGGAATTCCAACCGACTTTACTAGATAATCCCAGGAGGTATTCCAAAGTACTGGAGGGCTTTTTCTCCTTCAAAGTAAGCCAGTGTTGCAACTGCATCCTGTTCTTCGAAAGTCTTTTTGAATTATCTCAGATGCAGAATATTCTCTCTTGCCTCTCTGGTACATTCTTTATCCAGCATAAATTGGGATATCTTAACATCCCCAATATGACCTGTTCATTTTGCATTGGTCGTATGAAGACGAATGATAAGAGTTATGATGAACAATGGCATGCAAGATTCAGAAGCAGCACATTACTCAAAGGAACTCACCAAACTGCAGGTACAAAAGAGAAGAGCCATCACAACTCCAGTTGGAGAAGAGAAAATCCAGATTCAGATCTAATCCTAGAAGTAGAACAGACCCTATCTACATCTCCAAACTCTCTACCTCTCCCTCAGTAGTCTAAGGCCACATTTACCTATTTCTTTTCCTGAAATGCCTGCAAGACTCTTCTTGCCTCAGAGCCTTTGCACTTGTCCCCTCTGCAGAACCCTTATCACCTACTCCTCCTCCTCATTCGTATCTCAGTCCAAATATTACATCCTTAGAGAGACCTTCCCTGACCGCCCCAACTAAAAGAATCTTCAGCCCAATTCCCAACTCAGTCTCTATCACATTACCCTGTTTTATTTCTCCTACTGCATTTATCACTATCTAAAATTCCTATTTGTTCATCGTCTCTCTCTCTCTACTAGGATATAAGACTCATGAGGTCAGGAAACTTTATATTTTTCTCAGCTGAGTCCCCAGCGTCTAGCGTCATACCTGGATCATAACAGACAAAATAATGTTAATGAATTGATTGATTCACTCGATTTATTTCAGCACAAACTAAATTTGTAGTAATCATTCAGTCTTACCAAAATTCTTCATATTAAAGAACCGTAGAACTACCTTTACTCCCCAAATAATAATCTAATAAAAATTTTTTGTTTTACTAATTAGGAATTGTTCTTTTTTTTCTGGAAAATAAGAGCTTATGATAGATTAATATTCAAGGTTGTATATTTTTCTTTAAATGAAATAAATACTGACACATTTGTACATACACAGAATTTTTATTAAATATATTTTGTGAGAAAAATAACACTCAAGTGCCATATTTCATGTAAATCAGATAACTTAGTAAATATAATGGGGAAAAAATCAAAAGGGGAAGCATGATTTAAATAATCTCACAAAAGAGCAAGAACATATCTTAATCTTCATATAAGAAAACAATCATCAAAATATAAAAGGGAAGAAAATCTCTTTTGTAGAAGAATATATTTCAAAATTCCACCTGTTGATGATTTCATCTAAAAAATTCTATTCTAAACACATGAGAAGTCTCACTCTTACCAATATGTATGTTTTAATAGATGGTAGAAAGGAGATTTAGACTACTTATTCACACTGAGATAAAGTGACAGCATTCTGGTTGCACAGCAGTATTGCTCACTGGCACTAACAGTGGAAGATGGAGGAAGTAGATTTCTGAATTCAATTGTTAGCAGAATTGGTCTACTGCTAAAAATTCAGACAAAAATAGGTCTGAAGATTAGCTATTCCCAAGTAACACAAGCATTAACCAAACATTGCCAATTTGTAGGAGGCTGTGGAAAAAACACGAAAATACTCTATGTTGAATATTAGCTTTGTGTTACTTTCTACTAAAGGTATTCAGTGGGCATATTCTAAATTATTTAGGGCTTCAATATAGATCAAAATTAGCATGTGTAATATGAAGCTAACAGTATAGTGTCAACATGTCTTGAGATGCTCTAGCCAATGTTTGACTATAAATATTTGGAAGAAGTCAGGTGAAAAATAACTATATGCACATCCAAAATGAATATTTCTAAAAGAAATCTTGATGTACCAGATATCTACTAACTGAGAAGTGTTACACACATAATGGAGGCACAATAAATACTTAATGGTTGGCTGACTGACCAATTATATGTACCATTTAAGAAAACCTGAGTAAGTCAGGTGCAAACTATATATACATACAGAGATATTTCTTTAATAACATCCTACCAACGTATATATGCTGCATGTCATAGTTAAAGCTGTATTACCAAACTAGCATATGTAAAGTATCAATGCAGTTTAAATTAAGTTTTAAGTGAAAAGCTCCTGCTTTACAAAAGAATGACTTTGGGATTTATTCAAGAATTAGTTGTCACCTATAAAAAAGTTTAATGTCAATGCACAATACTTGTCACTTAAAAATTTGACAATATAGAAATTTACCGAAAAATTAAAGTTTTAGACCACTTCACATAGTTGAAGGGAAAAAAAGGATTAAACTAGATAATGACTTTGAATACATTTATGATCAAAATTAACACACACAAAATAATCAAAACACATTTCACAGCAGAACCTGCAAAAATTTTTTTGTATCAACCTTTTGTGAACCATGAAAAAGAATGAATCAGTCTTGTTTTAAATGAGCCTTTCAGGAAGCAAAAATAATTTAATCATGAAATATCAGCTTGATAATGAACATATTCTATTATCAGTATCGACTGGTAAATTAATTGTGTTTTCCAAAAAGGTCGAGAAATTCTAACTAGTAGGAACAGGATACTGAATTCATTAATGAATTATATAACTATTTTGAGCATACAAATAATCTCTGGTTTTATACCCACTACATTTCAGAATTCTGTAAACTGTGAGGCATTCAATGTGTTTAATGTGGCAGAAAAATCATATTAAATGTTTCATTATTTTATTCTGTTCATTCCTTTTCCCATTAAGCATGCAAACACCGTCATAACCATCTTTGGTTTCACTTCTACGAGGTCATCAGGTAAGGCATATATCCGGGCACCGATTTTTCGAGCAACTGAAATGGCATATCTTGAAAAGAAAAGAAAAATAACTTAATATTTGTTATCCACTGTGTCTTCACTTAACAAATTTTAACAAAAGAATGAACTATTTTGATAAGATCAACTTTACAAGAAGGTTAAGTATGTGAGTCTTTAAATCATATTTCCCATAGAAACTGTACTTAAAAATGTGAATTTTAAGGACATAGTAACCTTACCTGTAAGGATTAAGAAAATTAAATAGCCATTATGTTCTATCATAAACCATAAATGCTTACTTAGCATTGTTCAGCTTGTCCTCATCAGAAAGGTCTTCTCTCTTGATCATTTCTTGACGAACTGCATTTGGTGCAATGGCATCTATTAAATCTAGGACAGGTAAACTAGTGCTAATAGATTTGTCCTAGAAAATCAAGAATAGATAAACATTCATAAACATCTTACTTTTAATCTTCATAAATGTCAGACTCTTCTGGCCATAACCATATACCTGAAAGCAATTTATAAATTTTCTTTATACTTAACATTCAGCTTCTCCACAACCAGCACATATCACAAACCAGTTAAAATATGCTTTTCCTTCCATCTTTACAGAGCTTGCAGTGTAGAGAGTTGTCACCATATCCGACTAAGGTTTGTGGATGTGACAATTCCTAAAGTATGCTAACTACAGTATCCACTCTCTAAAAACTAAGCACTTCTGAAAGGGAATAGGAGATGAATTTTAAATTAATAGTTTTGCAAGTTCTAGTAATATTGTATTTCTTACACCATAGATTCCTAAGCCTTCACTTAATATTTTTCAGAAAGAAAAATGAAAATAATAGTGGAAAGGAACTAACATTTACCAAGGAATTATTCTTGTTGCTTTACATGTTCAGCTTGTTTAACCCCCTAACAGCCTGGTAATAAAGATATTATAATCTCTCTTGTAAAGATGAAGAACGTGAAGCTCACAGAGCTCAAGTGACTTGTTCACACATCCAGTAAGTACAGAACCAGTATGTGAACCCATGACTCTAATGCCCAAGGTTCTCTCCATTTTTGAAGTTACCTCCAAGGCAAACTAAAAAAGGACAAATTCTAGTGGATAGAGCATTGCAGTTGAAGTCAGAAATCCTGTTCTGAATTGATTTTACCACTTTATTTGTTCTGTCTCAGCTTGAATAGTGGCCACTGTTGCTGGCCTACCCAGAATCCACTCACGCCTTACTTCTTTCTCCATCCTAGCAGAACCCACATTTTCGCTCTCTAGCCATACTTCCCTCAGAAGAACATGTGCTTCAGAGAAAGCTGATGCCATCCACAGCTCCAAGGGTAATCTTGAATTAGTCTAGGCCATGAATTCTCAATGGCAGTGGGGTGATAAACTTATTCTTTTATGTATAAAGTATACAGTGCATGAACAGACACAGTAATATCTATGGCATTAAAATTTCATGGGGGAGGAGCGTGTAGAAAGAAAATGTCTAAAAAGATTCCTGAGAGAAATAATGAAAAAGAGGTTGAAAAACACTAATCTAAGCCAAATAGAGTAATCACATGTGATTACCACTGTGATTTAATTTGGGCCTAACTTAATTTAATATGAGGCCCTCACTATTCAGGAAGAGCTATGGAAAGCTAGCAACCCCTCCTCCTGAATGTGAATGAGAAGATGAAACCTCTGTCACAACCAGCAGCTATCCTATGACCAAGAGGAGAACCAGCTTTAGGGTGAAGTCGGCACTTTCGATGGCAAAGCAGAGACAGACAAAAACCTGAGTCCTGAATGACATTCTTCAATTACTGGCTCAGCCAACCCTGAAGTCTACCCTACCTCTGGATTTCTGTTATTGCTCTGTATCTTTCCTTTTGGTTTAAACCACTTTAAATTGGGTTTCTGTTCCTTGAAGACAAAAGCACCCTTCCCTAATCACTACAGTGGGAATGTTACAGGATTCTTGAGAATATCAAAATAAGTGAAAGCATCTAGTACAGCTCTTAGCCAAATGTGGTTCGTAATAAATGTTTGATAAAACAATTTGAAGCCATGTGAAGAAGAGTAACAGGCTGCCTTTCTGGGCCAGGATCTATGAACCACTACATTTATTAATTTTTGAAAATTTATATTCTTCATTTTCAGGAATGTTCATTTTATGAAACAAATTTTTTGAGGGGAGTAAGAGTCGGCACTCTCACTGCTGCAGCCCAAGTTCGTCTCCCAGTCAGGGAACTACGCTACCCGTCTGTCAGTTGTCACACTGTGGCGGCCGTAGCTGTGACGCTGAAAGCTATGCCATTGGGATTTCAAACACCAGCAGGGTCCCCCACGGTGGACAGGTTTCAGCAGAGCTTGCAGACTAAGACAGACGAGGAAGAAGGACCTGGCCACCCACTTCTGAAAAAATTGCCCATGAAAACCCTATGAATAGCAGTGGTGCACTGTCTGGTACAATGCCGGAGGATGAGAGGAGGGCGCAAAAAGACCCTGGGGGTCTGCTCTGCTGTCCACAGGGTCACTAGGAGTCATAATCAACTCCACGGCACGAATGACAAAGAAGCAGAGGAGTGAAAGTAATTAGGGTCCTTAAGTCTATCCGAGGCTGGTAATGTGGATCTGTTTTTTTGGTGTCTTCTCTATTTCTGGAAAATTCTCAAACCTGTTTTCTCAATGTGTAGTCTGCAGATCACCTACATGAATAATCACCTGAGGTGCTTGTTAGAAGCACAAATTTATCCATCCACTCAAATTAATGAGTCAGGTTATCTGCAGATGGGGATAGGAACCTACATTTTTAACACGCTTTCTAGATGACTCTAATGTACACCACTATACTTTCTGAAATTAAACTTAACATTTGTCATTCTATAACAAATCTAAAATTTCTGTGCTTACAGAAATTTCATACAATATTTCTATGACGATTCAAAACCTGACAAATGGCTTAATTGTGTTGTATTTTGATTACTTATTTACATATTTGTGAGGGTTTTTTTAAGTTTGGGGAAAATTGTTCATTTTTTCTCCAGCTTTACTGAGGTATAATTGACAAATAAAATAGTAAGATATTTAAAGTGTACACCTTGATGATTTGATATACCTATACATTGTGAAGGGATTCCTCTCATCTAGTTAATTAATCTAACTAATTAATCTAACACATCTATCACCTCACATACTTATATATATATATATTTTTTTCTCTTTGGTGAAAACATTTAAGTTCTACTCTCTTAGCAAATTTCAATTATACAATATAGTGTTAACTATAGTCACCATGTTATACATTAGATCCTCAGACCTTAGTCACAGCTGAAAGTTTATGCCCTTTTGTGGTACTTTAAATATTTCTTTACTTAGATTTAGGAACAAGGATTTTTCCACCTATTTCTTTATCATTCACTTTGGGAAAAACTTTTACTGAGTTGAATGAGAAATTTAAGTTTCTAAAGATTATATCAGATCCCTTATCTTCCTATTTCCAAGAAAATTGGCCTATCATCCAACTCCTCTGATTTGTATACTATCAGTGAAAGACATTTTACTTTTGCAAACGGAACAGGGGTTATAGTAAAACCCTTAGTTTAGTATATAAATACATTTTCATCATTTGTCCTTTCACTTTCTTTAAATTAATCGTAACGAAATTACTTAAGCAAAAATAATTTCTAGAATCTTAAAGACAACTTAACCTAGAGTTTGACTTGATTTTCAAGATAATGAATCGTACCATCTCTTTCTCTGCACTTGATATACATTACTATTAGAACATTCCATTCCATTGTTCTTCCTGTCATTTTTTAAAATGAAAGTGGGGGGCTGGCCTGGCGGCGTAGTAGTTAAGGTCAGCGCACTCCACTTCGGTGGCCTGGATTCGTGGGTTTGGATCCCGGGCACAGACCTACACCACTCATCAAGCCATGCTGTGGCAGCATCCCACATACAAAAGAGAGGAAGAGGGGCAAAGACGTTAGCTCAGGGCCACTCTTCCCAAGCAAAAAGAGGAAGATTGGCAACAGCTGTTCGCTCAGGGCCAATCTTCCTCACCAAAAAATAAATAAATAAATAAATAAACAGATAAATAAAAGTGGAAAAACAGTCATGTGTCCACCAGAGTTCCCTAAAAGCTCCACAGAAACCTCTCCACACATGATGCCCTTTATACACTGGCAGTACAAATAGTGTAGTAAATCCCACTTATTGAGCCCTTAATATGTGCCGGGTACTACTGAGCTCTCTACATTTGTTAACTCAGCTTGACAACAAACTCAGAAGAGAGGTATTATTAATATCTCCATTTTACATATGGGGAAACTGAGGCACAGAGAAATTAATAACTTGCCCAAGGTCACACAGATACTAAATGGTGAGCCAAGTAAATTCAGTTTTATTCATCAAGAGATGTAGCCCAGTTGTTAGTATAAACTGCTAAGGTTTCTGTAAAACCCATACCCTTCTCATGTGCTCCCTACTCCCCTTAGCTGATTTCTGTAGCACTGCTGATGCCCCATACTGTGATTCCTGCTTTCTTATTTGCCTCCTTCCCTGAACAGTAAGCTCTTTGAGGGCATTATGTAGCACAGTGACTAGCAAAGTACCTGACACAGGGTAAGCTTTGAATATTTATGGAATGAATGAGCAATATGTCACACAGCTAATAAGTGGCTGAGCTGAACTCAAACCCAGGGCCATAGGACTCCATAGCTGGCTTTCAAGCTGCAGTTAGACAGATCTGGATGTGAAATCCAGCTATTTTGCTTAATAGTTTTATGACAGTGGACAAGTTATTTAACTTCTCTAATGCTCACCTTTTTGCTTATAGAGTTATTGAGAGAATTAAAAGAAACAATAATGTGCAAAGTGCTTAGCATAGTGACAAACAAGACTCAATAAACCATAATTACTATGATTATTGTTCTTGGCTGATATATCACCTTATCTTCTAGATGAGGGAAAATTACTTTGCAACTAAAAAGGGTATATTTGTCTTTTCTGAAATTTCTGGATATAGCACTGCCTTGATTATGATTAATAGGTTCTTACTAGTACCACTTACTATAGCTTTCAAATATAATGCCTTCTACAATTGGAAAAAACCTTCCCTCCTCAACTATTTTTTAACATGTACTGCCACATTTTTAAACTATACTCTCTTTAAAGATTTTATTATCAAGTACTTCCTAAATGCCAACCACTTTTGCAGTGTTTCTGCTTCCTCAGTTCTAAGTAAAAAACCATACTCTCAAGTCTGCTTTTCTCTGCGAGCTCTCTCTCTTACAGGGTTTGTATACTCCCATTTTCCAACTATCTCTTCTGTTCAACTGATCACCAAGTGTGTATTCCTAGTTTTAATATCTCCTTTCAACCAACTCCCTATTTCCTGAAAATTACCTCAAATTTAACAAGTTTAAAACTGAATTCACCACCGTTTCCAGAAAGCAGCTGCACCTCATGACATCACCATTTCTGTTAGTGTTATCATTTGTTTTCCAATTACCCAGGCCCAAAACATCAAGAGTTTTAACCCCTCTCTTTCTCTATCTCTCTCCTGTGCTTCCCTAAATCAAGAAGCCAAATCCTACCTGTTCTTTTGCAATAGCTAGTAACTATCCATTCTTTTTTTTTCTGATTTATTAATCATTTTGTTGAGGTCACACTGGTTTATAACACTGTGTACATTTCAGGTGTACATTATTATATTTCAGCTTCTGTATAGACTGCATCGTGTTCACCACCAATAGTCTAGTTTTTATCCGTTACCATACATATAAGGAGAACAGATTGGTGGTTACCAGAGGGGAAGGGGGTGGGGGGAGGGCGAAACGGATAAAAGGGCACATATGTGTAGTAACTTTCCATTCTTAACATTCCCAGTGCCCACCTCCAACTCCATTCAGATCTTTATCACTTCACACCTGAGTTCTACTCAGGTTCTTATGCAGTGTCCTTGCATTTATACCATTCTTCCTCCAACCCATCCTGCTCACCATGTTCAGAAAGTATTCCTAAAATAGTCACTTTTCTTACATTACTCCCCTTATCAATATCCTTTATTAAGGGCTCCACAATCTTGACCCAGCCTATATCTTGCACTACATCCCTTAGGAACCATCCTCTCTAGCCAAACTTGCTCCTAACCTCAGACTTGCCTTTATTCAAGATGGACCCTTTCTAGCTTGTTATACCCCTCCTGTTCACCAGTTCAAATCTCTCCTCCATCTATGATGCTCAAATCAAATCCAATTTTCTCCGTCCACTCTTCACTGACCATTCAGTTGGAAATGATCAATTAGACTTATTCATAATATTAGTTGTATTACTTCTTTAGATTTTATCATTTACTCTGTAGTATTGTTACCTTCTCAGTTATACAAATTTTGTCTTTCAAATAAATAGGAAACACTCTGAGGGCAAAATTAATTTCTCATATTCTATATCTTTTTCTTTACCTAGAAATGATACTTAGTAGTAAGAGCTCAATAAAAACTTATTAATTTGTTTCTAAATATTTTCTCATTGTATTTGATTTCATTATTATATGCTTATTATTTTTCATAAATTAATATACAAATGCATATAATTTCAGTATAACAATTTTAAAGAGTAACTGTCAATTAGAGAATTTTATATGTCTGCTTTCCTGTTTTACTTTTTTTTTGGTGAGGACAATTGGCCCTGCGCTAACATCTTTTTGCCAATCTTCCTCTTTTTGCTTGAGGAAGAGTGGCCCTGAGCTAACATCTGTGCCCATCCTCCTCTATTTTTTTTTATTTTGTATGTGGGTCGCCACCACAGCACAGCTTGATGAATGGTACAGGTCCGTGCCTGGGATCCGAACCCACGAAGCCCAAGTGGAGCATGCTGCACTTAACCACTACACCACCAGGCTGGCCCCCCTGTTTTACATTTTTAAGTTGTATTTTATGTCTAAAATACAAAAAGACAAATCATGGACTAAAAGTTTTTTTTTAATGAGCAACAACAAAAACTCAATGTCATTAGTTCCTCCAAGATGAAAAAGTGAAAAACACTCTTGAACTAGGACTCAGGCAACATCTCTGCCAACATCCAACTGTCCTGTTAAAACTAATTCGGGGCTCAGTTTTTGGTAAAGATGAGAAGATTGAGTTTGTCAATTTCTGACATTTCTTCTGCTCTACAATGTTGTTAAACACATAGAGCAAAGGCAAAGAAGAGAATAAAGGTAGGTAGACAACTCTTAGGAGAGCTTAGGGTTTCATCTGTTTGCACTCTTATTTCACTAAAAAAAATACAAATTGCTGATTTTCACATATCATAATAAAATCACAAACACAAGGCTCACTGAATGAATGTGTACAAGCAGACATGCTTATTTGTAGCTAACATCAGCTCACATGCAAAAGCAAAACACAATGGAAATGCATGAAAATTAGTGGGTATGTATGTGCAGATTACATTTTGAGTGCTTTATGAATCATACACAAATGCTCAGAAGTGAGTGTTATGTGCCATTATAAAGCCAGATGACAAGATATTGTTTTTCCTACCAGTTTTCTCAATTCCCACTTGAATCGGTTTTGCTGGCTCTGTTATGCCTTGGAAATGATGTCAATCAATTCTGAGACTGCTGCTAAGGAGCACAAAACATTATAGGTCCTATATAAACAATGGCTTTTTATATTTCTTTTTGACTTGACAATTGGGTTTTTTGGCTCTATTCTATTTCTTTTTTAAGATTAGATTACCAGAGTCTGATAAGATTAACCTCCATTTATACTCAGTAGGAAACCAATAAAAAATATAAGAATTCAAACTAAATATTTTTGGTTTACATATGCCAAATAATTAGTATGCCTAAGCTCAAAGCTCATAAATTGTGTGTTTCTGAGACATAACATTAATGTAATTCTGAACCTAAACCAATTAATTCCCAATAAAAATTCCTTCCTAAACTTAATTTCTTACCAAAAAAAATTTTTAAATAGCTTTTGATTACCTTGAAGCTGGAAATAGAAGTATTTTTGCGTGCATTTTTAAGAGTCTGATTGACCCATCTAATAATAATTTCATCATTTACTTTTTCACCCTCTCCGAGATCCGATAACACATTCAGTGTGTACCTGTAACAGAAAAGATGTATATTTGAGACTGAAAGCAGTGAAATTTGTTCTCACATCATTTATATCAATATTTAAATAAATATTTAAGAAATATTTCAGTTCTAATAAATATTTCTAATTTTAGTCTGGTATTTCCACTTAGTTGCATTCCAAAGTTACAAAGCTCAGTAATCAGAAACAAAACTAAGATATGGTATTTAAAAAATTAAAACCACTTCTTACAAAGCAGTTTTTAAGAGGCATTAATAAGAGTGATTGTATTTCTAGAAACTGACCCACTTTTAAAATAAAGTGTAATTTACAAAAAATATATTATCAACAGTAAATCATTTAAAAATTAATATGTTTTGCACTATGTATTCTGTGTTTGTTATCCTTCAAAAATAGATAAAATTTTAATTCAAATGACTTGTTGAAGGAAATGTAAGAATTCAAACTAAATATTTTTGGTTTACGCATGTGAAATAATTAGTATGCCTAAGCTCATAAACTGCTTCTGAGATATAACATGAATGTAATTCTGAACCCAAACCAATGTAATTCCCAATAAAAATTCCTTCCTAAACTTACTTTCTTATCAAAAAAAATTTTTAATAGCTTATAAACATATCAGCCTTTACCTTCTCATCAGCTGCCATATCAATGCCAGAGTAAGTGTTGCATTCCCTTCATTTAGGTCCTGCCCACCGATGCCAACCAAGGAGAATTTGGCCTTATTCTTCCCCAGTTCCACTGCATAGTTACAGTTTTCAATCTATAAATAATAAGTAAAAGTTTTGGTATAAAAACAAATTTTTAAAAATATTTTTCTTGAATATGCCAGCTTAGTTCAGTCATCTGAAGAATGATTATGATGACACCTTAAATTTATACGACAGAATTTCATTTCATAATAACCCAGTGAAATTAAGGAAATAGTTATTCCCATTTTATAGCTGAAGATATCAAAGCACTGAGGGGTTAACCTAGATAGAGAAACAGCTGGCTAGAAAGTTTTAAGATCCTCTCCTGCCTTAAAAGTCTTCACTGTCCCAGATTACACAGCTTATCAGTGGCAAATCTGTGACTAAAAAGCTAGGTTTTGAGTTTTAAACATAGTCTTTTCTAAATTCAAAATTAAGGAATAGAGAAGAAATTGTTTCATTAAGAATCTAACTTCATCTCCCATATCCTTTATCCAGATCTTACTCATTCTCTAAAATTCAGCTTTTAGCCCACTTTCTTCAACAAAGGCTTAACCCGAAGTGTACCAGCTGACAATGATCTATCCCTTGTTGAACTCCCAATAATGCTTATCGGGTAACACTTATGCACCATCTTCTACTTATACTTAGCATTCTATGTACTTTCTTTTGTCAACCATAGCATGAGCTCCTTTTAAAGGGCAAAAATCCTAATGTGTACAAATCTATATCATACTCTCCCACCCCCAGCCCAGGACCCATCACAGTGTCCTGCCTACAGTAAGAATCTGACGAATAAGCACCAAGTAAAGTATTTACCTACCTAACTACTTCTTTTCAGTGATGTAAGTCCACTTAAGTCCTTTCTCTAGTAAATTTTTTTGTCTACTCTGGCCTCTATAGAGGTTTATTATCTCCAATCATCTAATACTATACTTCTTATCTCAGGATATAAATATATATCTAAATTCTTATATAGTTGAGTCTTTTTTCTCTAGTGAAATTGGAAGCTCTCATAATCTTGTAATATCACCAGTAGTAAAAAGTGCTTACTAAACACTTTTTGGAATAAAGTAAACATTTAGTTAAGAAAAATAGCATAACTAGTCTCTCTTGATTTTCTTTCCCAAGTTAGTTAAGGCCTCATTACAAAACAATTCAACCTTAGATACACAGATACAATTTTTTCTAAGAATACGAAAATATTTCCAGGAAAGGTAAGAAAGGGACCCCACAATAACCAAATTTTCACAAATAAATGGATATTGTTCTTTAAAGAAGAGAATCCAGGGGCCAGCCCCCTGGCTTAGCGGTTAAGCGCATGTCCTCTGCTTCTGGCAGCCCGGGGTTCGGATCCCAGGCGCGCATCGACGCACTGCTCCTCCGGCCATGCTGAGGCGGCGTCCCACACACAGCAACTAGAAGGATGTGCAACTGTGACATACACCTAGCTACTGGGGCTTTGGGGAGAAAAAGGAGGAGGATTGGCAATAGATGTTAGCTCAGGGCTGATCTTCCTCACAAAAAAAAAAAAAAAGAAAAAGAAGAGAATCCAAATTCCCGAAGGTCAGTTCGTTACAAATAAAAATGCAAGAAGATCCTTTGAACCGTCTGTAACATCTGCCTGGTTCCCGTAATAAGTTAAATAAAATCTTTGATATGTATTCATTTTTAAAAATGCAAGGAGATAATATTCCAAAATTCTTTCCTTTTCCTAGTAGTCACATTATATTATAGATTTAGTCAGCCTAATAGAAATATATGTTATAGAAATGCACAGAATTGAAAAAAAAATGGAATAGATTCCTAATCTTTGGAAAATAGCATCAGAGCTCTGATTATGTAACAGTGTTAACAGGAGAGATAAAAACCAGCATATTTTCCACTGACACCCATTTCAATGGAAGAATTTTCTAGCAAACTACAATAATCACTTATGTGTAAAATTTGTTTCAATGAAGGGCCATCTGTTGTATTAGTTAGACCAAAACTCCTGGGGAATGATGGTGAGAAAGGAGCTCAGGGTTACTAGTGTAGAGGGCTAAGATGTTGATACAACTGGCAATGAAAGGGAAACTTGAAATGGATGCTAGCATAAGGGAAAAGACGTGTTCTATTTTTTGACAACATTTGATTCCAAATTTGGCAAAACACTTCTAAGATCTGGAGAGGTACCAAACTAGAGAAAGAATGAGAAATTAGGTTCCTAGAGGTAAGCCATGTTTATAATAGTACTTAACACTCTAAAAATGGATCTGCTCCCTGAGGATGTAAATATAGAAAGTTAAGAGCATTGAGCCAAGAACTGAGCCTGGGAAATTCCTAGAGCTGTCAGGCTAGAAGATGTGAACCTGTGAAAGCTAAGAATGAACATAAAGAAAGCAAGAAAAAACTGGAGAGCACAGTCTCATAGAGCTAATGGAAAAAATGATTACCAGCACTTCAAATGCTTTGTACAAAAGTCAAGCTTGGATCATTTGGAAAACGAGAAAAATTACATAATAGGATACAGAGTTCCAGGTGAAAAGAAATACTGAAGAATAATGAAGAAAAGACTCTTTAAGTGGTGCAGCTTTATGAACTTGACAAATAAAGCAAAGTGATATCTGCTGATGAACGCCCAAAGTCCATAAGTCCCTGTCATATTGCGCCATGAAAGTACTGCTTCTTCATTTTTAAACATCTTGAATTTATTTCAGGCCTGAAATGTTGCACTCTATAAACAGCTAGTATTTGTTGAAAGGAAGTACTCTACATATGATTCATTCAATTAAAAATTCCAGGTATAATGAGTGGTTTAATTTCTGTTTTCCTGCATCTGAAATTTTGATTTAAAAAACTTACATGAAATTAGTTAACAGAATTTTCGGAATTCTACTCCCGTGAGAAGAATTATAGGCAAATCAAATAAAATATAAAATGTAGCTAGTCCAATCACTAGAAATACTGAAAAAATATGAATACAAATCTCTTGTAATTACACTACCCATTTAACTACTTTTAATATTACGATGTATTTCCTTGTTGTCTTTTAAAAAACAATTTGTTTAAATTATAAAGTCTATAGATACATGTTCATTCCAGAGATCTGGAGAAGGAATAGAAAGAAGTCCTTTTTGAATGCATGTCTCCATGTATATATATTTTAAACAAATCAGATTCATATGTCTATATGCAATTTTGTATCCTGCTCATTTCCATGTCACTATTACTAAAACGGTAAAAATGCTTTTTTTTAACGGTACATTTTACTTCATCTTATGGGTGTATCATAAGATATTAATCCTTCATTGAACAGCTAAGTCATTTTCTCTTTTTTTGCTCTACAAACATTGCTATGATGAGCGTTTTGGTATACAACTTCATGTCTGACTTTCTGATTATTTCACCAGGATAGATAAGAAGAAGTGAAATTATTAAGTCAAAAGACTTTTTGAAGATTATTGATATGTATTACCAAACTGATTCTATAAAGTTTATACAAGTGAACACTTCCTCTAACACTGGATGCAGTGCAATTCACTTGTTTCTTATTTTAAATTGCATTTCTTTATTGCGGGTGAAAATTTTTTCATATGTGTATTATCTATAATTATTTCTTTTTCTGTGAATAGTTCACTCACATTGTTCACTTTCTTACTTGGCTATTACAATTTTAGTAACAGCAATCGAGTTTTAGTAATTGATTTGTTTGAACGATCTGTGTGTTAAGGATATTAACCATTTGTCATATTTGTTGCAAATATGTTTCCAAATTTATTATTTTTATTGTTTGCTTTTTAATTTTGTTTATGGTGTTTATTTTTGCATACAGAAGTTTTAAATTTATATGCAATCTACTATATCAATTTTTTCCTTTGTAATTTGTTTATCACTCCAAGAGTAGATAATCATTCACTTCTGTTTTCTTAAAGTTTTATTTATTACATTTAATCCTTTAAGTCTTTACCTTTAATCCATTTGGAATTTATTTTGGTGAATGATATATGGTGAAGATCACTTTTTTCCCTAAGGAAATAGTTAATCAGTTGTTCTGACATCATTTTTTGGATGATCCTTCCTTTCCCTGCCGAATTTAGCAAGCACCTTGTCATATATTAAGTTCTTATATTTTAGAATAGGTTTCTAGGCTACTCTATTCCATTCCATTCTTAGAGATGTATTAAACTATTTCAATTACTTAGCTTTATAATAAATTTTTATATATTTTCTAACAGTTCCTTCCTCAATATTCTTGGAAAATGTTCTTGATGATTTAGGCCTGTTTCTTCTCCCAATGGAACTTTAGAATCACTTTATAAATCCCATTCCCCAACACACACATATATATGCCCACATATACACAAATACAAAAGGAGAGTTATTGGAACTCTAACTGGAATTATTTTTCACCTATAAGTTAATTTGCAAAAATTTAATATCTTTATAATATTTAGTCTTTCTATCCAGGAATATGGTTATATTTCCATTTATTCCACTAGAGATAGTTTTTAAATCATGAGAATGCATTTCAATTTCAAAATACCATATTGATAAGTTACAGCAATTTGAGTCCATTAATTTGTATTATATATTTAAACTATTCACAACATTTTAAACAAAAGGACAAAGTTAAATGAAAGTATAAAAATTTAGAAGTCCAACATACTTTCACTTGAGAAAGGATATAATCCTGATGCAGAAGGTAGAAGAGAAAAGCAAAACATAAAACCCAAGCTGAATAGTAAAGCAGCAGTTCAACAGAACAAACATGAACACCAAGGACACCATACCTCCCCTATTTGAGGAGGGAGGAGACTGGGAGACAAGTACTTCTCTTTACCATTCATGTGCCACCAACTGTAATCAAGCCACTGCCCTGCTCAAAAACATTTAATGGCTTCCCATTGCTTACAGGTTAAAACCCAAACACTCTTTAATCTGACATTCAAAGCTCTCAACATCTGGCTCCAATCCAAATTTTTAGTGTTCATATTCACTTCTCACCTATCCTCTGCTATAGCCAAACTATTCTCCCCAATTCCCAGAAACACATTTTACACTTTCCCATCACTGTGCCTTTTCCTAACCCTCAGCCCCCTGTCCAGTCCCCTTCTGATAAAATTCTATCCATTTTTTAAAACTCTAACTCAAATACCACCTCCTGCATGAAGCTTCTCATGATAAGTGCAGCCTGTGGCCTTTTCTTTCTTAGAACTCATAATATTCACTTTTGCATACACTGCGTTGTATTGTAGTTGTTTGCACACATATCTTATCTCTCTGATTTCCTTAGGGCTCCCTGAGAACCAACTCCATGCCTTGTATTATTTCATATCCTGCATTGCACTGTACAGGTAGTAGGTAATATCTGTTGAAAAATATTAACGAATAACCAGTGAAGATTTTGCAAGTTCTGGTGATTATAAAATAGGAACGTCTTTATGATGCATCTCAAAGAACATTAAGTACTACAACTTGATAAAGACAAAAACAGTTATATAAAGGGTCTGACTGGGGAGACTGCCTTCATCTTTCCAAACATTTATTAAAGCACGCTTGTAAAAAGGCTACTAAGCTTAACACATTTTGTTTCGAATCAGAACTGTGGGGACAGACCGTACTTTACTAAGCTTTAAGAAACTCTAAATCCTCTGTTTTATATCAGAATAATAATAACACATCCATGGTGATTATTTCATTCACCTTCTTCATGTTCCCTCCAAGAGCAGGATAAGGAGGTTTGTTGACTTGGCTCCAGTTGACTGGCACGCGGATCATTTCATAGAGCTGAAAGATCACTAAAGCATCTGCAAGGTCACTAAAACAGGGAGAAAAGAAGATGAAGGAGGAGGAACGCTATCATTTGACCCAGAACTTATAATCTGGGAATCTGCCCAAAATTTTTTCATAAATGTTTACAAAGATATATGTACAAGGACATTCACTGCCACAGTATTTATAAATCTGGAAACAACTTAAATGCCTGGCAGCAGGAGGCTGTTGAACAAACTATCCATACCATAGACTCCCGGGCCACCATAAGACATAATATGGTGGATCTCTATGTACTGACATAAAAAGCTTTACCAGACATATTACGTTTAAATAAGCCAGTGGTAGAATATTGCATACATTATGTATTAAATTTATTTTCAAAATTAAGAGTATTTAATTACCTATATGTGCTATGGACTGTTAATAGCGATTACCTCTGGGCAGGAAAAAAAGGAATATGGTAGGGATAAGGGAGAAATTATCGTGCTTAATTTTATTCTACATACTTACATACTTCCTGAAATGTATACAGTGAGAATGAGTTCATGTAGTACTTAGGTATTATGATTTTTAAAACTTTAAAAAAATAATTATATAAAAATCACAATAGCTATTCAGTAGGCAGCTGTTCATGTTAAATAATGAGGGTTAAGAGGCAGGGATTTATGAGCAAGCAGGATTATTGAAGTAAGAATACTCCTACTTTGGAAGGCAGCTATGCTCACCACTATACCACCAATGCAGAACAGTACTACTTTGGATTCAGGAAAACACGCTCTTCTGAGACACTGGAAGTATGTCTATTGAGTCTGTTTTCAATTCTGTACGTGAAGGACATAAAGCAATAGCAATTGATTTTAAAATTGTTAGCTCTGTGATGTATTATGTGGCTTTTCTCCCTCGACAGCTTGTTCACTGAGTTATGCTTTGCTAAGGTTCATATTAAAGTTACTGTGCATCTCTGAGCACACATCATATATGGCAGTGAAGGGGGCTGGGCCCTGTGCTGAGTGATGGAGGGAGAAAGTCTATTATGAAGGTAATTAAGAGCTGACTAGGTTATCTATAAGCACATGGAGAATTTTGTATAAAAAAAAAATCACTAAAGTATTTGTATAGGTTCTGGAATCTCATCTATTTCATGAATTTTTCTTTTTTACTTTAAATTAATTCACTCTTATTTCTACGTAGTATGGTACTATTATTCATGTTTTGCAAATAGGGAAAATGAAGCCCAGAGAGTTGAAATGATTTCCGGAGAATTCAAGATGTGATCCAGAACCAACCTGTCATAGAAAAATTCTAGGACTAATAGTTCTGAAAATATATTTAATAACTAGTTTAGAGGACAGAATTTTCCATTAAAACCAATCTGAAGTATTCCACTGCTTTGGTTTGGTTTGGTATATACTATAGGTGAGAAGCAATCACTTAGGGGTGGGTTTAGGAAAATGATCCAGACGCAAATTCACGGACATGTGGTTCTGGCGCCAACTAGACCTCTGGCGATTGTTTTTTCTCTATCTGTTGGTTCTCTTTAAGGTTATGTTACTTTTGACAATTTTCTGAATTCCCTTTCCCAAGAAAAAATTACAAATGCTAGAAGCCCTGTGCTAGCATTTCAAGATCTGTATAACTACAAATCATCTTTAACCAAAAAATTTGCTCAATTCTCTTCTCCACTGTCAACCATAGAGAACTCTAGTGTTCTTGACATTTATGAAGAAGGTACCACGAGTCTCAACAAATCTTAATCCTCTAGTTTTAAATTTACTTTCTAATTAAAAAAGAAATACATGCTCATTGTAAAAAAAAACTATATTTAAGTTACTAAGATTAAAAATAAAAGTGTCCTCACTACCCTCCACTCCTACTATCCAGGCTGCATGCAGTTTTAGTATTCGTCCCTCCAGATTTTTTTTAAAAATTCATACACAAATATGTATACTCTCAATTTTAAAGTAAAAATGAGATCATACTATATCTATTATTCTTTTCTCTCAATTTATATTATAGACATTCTTTCAAATTAGTCCATAAAGATCTAACCCCTCCTCACCTCCAGTATTTGAGTCTTTTACTGCCCTGCTACTATAATGGGAGTTCCAGTCTAAATGACGTATATCTCTTGTAATCTTGATGGAATTTACCCTCTTAAAGAGTTTATCAAGCATGACTCTATCACATCAAAGCTGGACACCATAATAAGGCAATACTGGTTTTAGATTTTTAAGAATATTTTGAATATACACCAAGAAGCAGAAATTACTGCATCATAAATCCTCAGTTAGCCAGTGACCTTGGTCTTTTGTGGCATGACTCTTCCGTTCATATTTAAATAATAATTTAGTTAATGTTCATTAAGGAGTTTCTTTGATGTGTAAAGGTTCTTTGATGTGTAAATTATTAATAGATTTAGTTAATTAGACCTTTTTCCTAAAAAATACACAATCAGCTGAAGTTGAGCTCTTTTGCATTTTTTTAAGGCAGGCTGGTAGATCCTGAAATAAAGAGAGAAGGTAGGTTTCCTCTCATCCACATCTAGAAAGACACATTGTTAGCACTACCAGAGAGCACAGGAAAAGATTCAGTAAAAGATTAGACCTACCAATGTTAATAATGTGTTGTCGTTTTTAAACAAGAACGAATAAAATAAATTACAACAATTACTCAGGGAAAGCAAGTTATTTCTACAAATTAGAAAAAATATACACAAAAAATTACGGGATAATTGAGGTTTTTGGCAAAAATATATACAAGAATGTGAATTATAATGAAAAATATTAATATAATAACAATTTATAAAATATTACTGTTGTTAAAGTTGAAATAATTTATTTTCCTGATCAATAATTATAAAAGATGGATTATCTGTACCAAATTGTTTATATTATCAAAAATTATAACTAATTTTATCATATTCTTATCCTTTTACACAATACTTATCTTTTAAAATCCATTATTGCCAATCCCCAGCATTCTGAAACTTGAAATATCAGCTAAAATTTTGTGATTTTTAGAAAATGTTCTCATGTAAACCTACCTACAGTTTGAAACTTGACAAGTTGAACTCTGCCTGTAAAACTGAAACACAATAAAATATTTACCTGTATAAATGATTAATGTATGGGTTGACGCCCAAGGAATTCATCCAGTTCCGAAATGTCCTCTCTTCCTTGCTCTCTCCTAGAGTAGACACAAGTTCACACTGATGATTCAGGACACAAGGAATCAAGAATTGTATTATAAGCCATTCTGGCAGGTACAAACCAGCCATACATACTTTGGCATGGTCCTGTGATACTAGAATCTTTTTAAGGGGAAAAAAAATCTAATTGCCAAAGTCCCTTTTTTCCCTCTGTCTAGAAAGCCTCCATTTGCTCTAAATTTCTCCATCTAGAGTCCCTTACTTGATGTCTGTGAACTACTGAGCCATAGGTTTCTCTATGCAGAAAAGTAACAGAAAAATATGGTCATATCTGTAGTTGTGATTCCATGCAAAAGGGATTGGCTAAAAATTACTAAAACAAGATCTTTAGTAGTCAGGGTAACATTAGCACATTACACAGAAATAGAAAAGTACCTTTCCCAATACAGTGTTTCTAAAGTTATACAGATTATAGTTTTACACAGGAAAGTTTCTGGGCACAGAAACCTACATTTTAATGACACCAAACAGCAATGAAGTGGGGGGATTACAGGTAACAGGATATAACTATTTTATAGACTTCCTGCATTATTTTAGATTGTCATTACTAAAAATACATAAGGGACACAGCCCTCACACAGGGTGCTAAGAGAAAGACACATTTCATCATAGTAAGTCCCTAGACCTCAAAAATCACCTCAAGAAGAAACTCCTGCAGGCACTATTATTTAACCTGTGACGACCTAACCTTCCTGAGCATTCCCTTCATAGCAGTGCTTACCCAATCTATAAGAAAAACGTGGGCTACGGTTGCCACAAAGTGGGCAGAGAGAGATGTGGGCTCTCCTTGCCATGTCTGCCTTCTAGTCATCCCCTGGATTGCAAATAGTCCTAAGTGACTATCTATAATATTATTGTTCGTTTGTCAGCAAAGTTAGGGGACAAGAGAATGGCCTAGCCTACATCTCACCACCAGACTCCTGAAAAACTGAAACATTTACACCTCTCATCACTTCTAAGTTCAAGTCACTCTCTAGACTTTGGCTCATGTGGGATTCCCAGGACAATTCAGCATATAAATCTATAACCATCTGAGCTCCAGGGGTCCATTCCTACAGAGCCATCCCTGTGGTCATCTTCAGACCAAGTGCCACAGACAGCATAAACCTGCACACTCAGAATAGAAACCAAAACCATGCAAAATCTAAAGCATTCTGTTTTTTGTGCCAAGTTCAGGAAACAATCTGCCGACTGAATTTTCATGCGGTTTCAATGCCATTACCTAACAGCTTTCCCAGAATCTACTTTAATTCTTGCTCTATTAAATTATACAGCCATATATTTCTTGCTTAAATTTTGTTCCCTCTGGTCTGCATAAAAGGTAACTGATCAGTCTGTTGTATCCACCACTACTACTTTATAATATATATAAAACCTATATGAGAACCGTTTTCAAAAGAACCAAGTTAAACTAAATATTCTTAGAAGCAATGCTTGCCTTGTTTGTAGGAGTTATTAAATAGGTGCAAATTAAATATCTGAACCTTCTCCAAAATGACATAAATATAAACAGACAACGATCAACAGCTTGATGCGTGTGATTTGGATTTAACTTTTAGTGGTTTCTCTAATTACAATCTGTTATTTTGCTGAATATATAAACTTTTTTCCAGTAATTAAAGAATTTTTACATATTTCCATCTAGGAGAATCCAAATTATGTTTTTAAATTACAAACACTGACAGTATAACAACAGTTTAATTTTTAATTAAAATAATATCCAAATTCTGCTGAACCTGATGATATAGTGAATATTTAAAGACACTAAATTTGTACTTTGATTGAGTTCTGAAATTATCATAAGCTTTAGAGGTTCTTATTTCTTCCTATTTTTCTCAACTAATTATATCATTATTATTTAATTTTTGATACCTGGAAAGTAAAATAGATTTTATAAGTGAGCATTTATTTATCTAATACCATCCCAAGTTACCTTGGTAAACAAATGCTCAAAGCCAGAAGCACTACACATTGGTGCAAGAGCCATGGTAAAGCATTACAAAAACACATGTATTCCAGATTGGAAATGTCATCTGGATTACAGACAACTAAAGCAATCTTAGAAGTAAAATGTTAATTGCTGATACAAAAGACAGAAACAACTATGAGACATTCTTTTCGTTTTTCAGGGCCAAACCAACATCTGCAATTGATCAACATTTCAGAAAAAATAACAAATATATTAAAAGTAGGCTACTAAGAAGAAGAAAAGAAACTAACATATTTAACATTCACTAATGTACTGATGTATTAAGTGTTTGTCTCTTCCTGACCTGACCATTATTGAGCACATACTGTATGCTAAACTCTTTCATTCATAGGGTCATTTTAACTTGCTCTGTAATTCTTCCAAATAAGTATTATTAGTCCTATTTTATATATGAGAAAACTAAGGCTCACAGAAGTCACTGACATATTAAATGGTGGAACCACGATTTGAACCAAGTCTAACTCTGTGGCCTATGTATTTTCTATCACCACAAATGAATTTTGAGATGGTCTCTCTATACAGAGCCCACATATTTGGCTCAATTTAATATGAAGGTTTAATATTTAATTGGGCTTTTAATTTTCCTTAATTCCATACAGATAAAATTCTTTGCCAATGAGGACATACTAAGATATAAATATGGGATATGATAAGGTCAAGCTTCAAATTTCATAAGGATCTATAAAAACAAATTTACAGAGGAAAAAATTCCAATGACAAAGTCAAATACATTTTTGGCAGATGTGTCAGGACATACATATGTTCTAAATAAAGATGATTGATAAATATTTCTCACAGTAACTTCTTATATAAATATAGTAAATACTAATGGAAATATTTAGCAATCCTATTCACACTGAAAAATTCCAAAAGCATGCTGAACACTAGCAAAAGAATTCAAACGTGACAAATAGGAGAGCGAGCAAGTTGGAAAAGATATATAGCAAGAATTTGGTGACTATAAAAAGCAGATCATTTTTAATATGCCACTCTAAACAACGCATTCTACTGTAAGACACAGAGAGATTTTGAAATTTTCCAGACTGGTAAAAACTTAGCAGTCTTCCTTTTTATTTAATTTTTTAAAAGTTCTAATCCCTCACCCTAAATTTCTCTGCTGAAAAATCTACATTTTTTTCTGTCTTCTCTCTCAGTTACATATGTATATGGAGAATACAGTCTTTATTTTATTTTACTGGACCTCAGGAAGAGTGAATTGAATTAATCATATTCCTCAAAGAACAAATTTGTTAAATCTGAAACTTCTTTCATTAATCAAAAAACTGTAATTATAAAGCGACAAGGACACTGCGACTCTTGTTGTGGCAAAGAGAAAAAGATCGTGAAAGTGATTTCTCATTTCGTCTCACTGGGGAACAAAGGAGTAAGGTGGGTGATGTGAGAGAATGAACACTGCAACATCAAATTCTCCCCACCAGGAAGAATCTCTACTTGAGGACTACTTTCTCCAAACCAGGGCAACTAGCGAGAATATTTGAGAGAGTGAGAATGCGAGAAGAAAAGAAGAGAGGCTGGGAAACAGTGATAAGGAAAAAGAACTAAATATTGGGAATATTTTTGTCATTATGACGCTTCATATATTCTAAGCTTCAATAATATTCAGTAAATGTAACCTAGCTAAATAATACAAAATAATCTATGTCATACAACCTAAATAGATCCTTTCAAAGATTACTTGTGATAAAAATAAGTTTGTTTATTCATAGGAGAGGGATAAAGGCAGTACATCAAATCATGAAATCCAGTTGTCAAAACTGATTTCTAATGTGTTTACAACTACAATATCCCATCATTATGAAGGCAAATTAGGTGGAAAGTTTACATAATCAAGCCTTGTTCTGCTATTCTAATTAAGTTTCATTTGTGTTTCTTGGTTGTTGTCATTCATTCTTTAGGCATATTAAGACAGAAAAAACACAGCATGAACAATGCAAAAAATAAATATCAACTCAGAAAGAACAAATGGTACTAATAAAAAGAACATTCAGAATGAATATATTTAAAGAGTAGAGAAAAGTACTAAATACAGTACCTACATTAGGAGGGGTCAAATCTGCATTTCACGAAGCAAAACAGGAAAGTATTATAAATTATGAGACAGATAACAACAGCCCACACACAAGTAATGAATATTGTAAATTTTTTCATGTACACTAAAGACATTCATAAAAGAACAATACTGGAGTCAAACTGCAGCTTTCAAAGGAGGAAAAAAGCTACAAATAATTATTTTTTCCAATAGATAATTCATTGTCCATATTGGTGGTGGAGTTACGTTATGTGGCTACTTAAGAAAATATTTTAAATGTATGGTAGTTTTCACTAACCTCTTATGAAGAAAGGAGACAAGTAAATTTACCCCAGCATTCTCTTTTAACCAAAACAAATAACCACTTTCTTTAATTTGAACATTTGAATGGATGCACATGCCGACACACAGTAAATTGCATCTCCCACCACAATGCCCTACCTCTGACAGTGAAGGAGGACAATACACAAGAAGGTACACACAGTGAATCAATCAAAGGCAGAAAGAACATACCTTCCAATAAATTTATATCGATGTCACTATTATCAGGCTTGTGTAGGCCTGGGTATGTGTTAAACAGATTAGCTACAAAAGCTAAATTGAGTTTAGGATTGCCTGAAACCACGTCTGCAGGAGTAACAAACTGTCTGCAGCCCAGTTTATCTGCTTCTCGAAGCATGAATTCAGCACGCTTTAAGTCATTTCTCTCCTAAACAATGAAATAAAAACGGTCAAGATTAAACTTTCGATTGGCATACATTTTTATTGATATGCATATTTATAAGCAATTACTTTTCTGGAAATAAATCAAATAGTAGTTCAAAATAAGGTCAGAATGTGCAAGAATTCCAAATCAACTTCCCCATTTTTTAAAAATTCTATGAGAACAAGTTTCTGAGTTTTCTCGCTGGGATCAGAGTAATATTTCACCCTTATTGCTGAAATACTCAACAAAACTCTCAAATATTCTATCAGTAAGCTCCTACTGGTCAAATTATAGGTAACTTGGTGAAGGCCATACATTAGAGTGCCTTCTGGCTAAGAGGCTGAGTTGTTTCACCCATTCTACCCTGAATGATATTTCCAGCAGACTCTTTTCTCAATGAAAAACGAGTTGGGATAGACATAAAAAAATATTAAAATCAGAAGGAACAGCACTTTTCACATTGCAAAACCCTGGAAACAAACCAGATGTTTATCAACAGGAGAGTAGATGAATAAACTGTGTTATAGTCACACAATGACATACAACAATATGAGTGACTCTTAGCAATATAATATATTCAAAATAAGTACTAGAAATTTAAGTATGACATGATAAACTTCATATGAAGTTAAAAAAGTAAAATTAAAATTTAATTTTCTAAGGAATATATTTGGTTGAAAGAAAACTATACACAAAGAAAATCAGGGGCCAGCCCAGTGGCATAATGGTTAAGTTTGCACACTCTGCTTCGGCAGCCAAGGGTTCGCAGGTTCAAATCCCGCACACAGACTGACACACTGCTCATCAAGCCATGCTGTGGCAGTGTCCCACATACAACATAGAGGAAGATGGGCATAGATGTTAGCTCAGAGCCAATCTTTCTCAGCAGAAAAGGAAGATTGGCAACAGATGATAGCTCAGGGCCAATCTTCCTCACCAAAAAAAAAAAAAAGAGAGAAGCAAAGAACAATGAACATAAGACTCAAGATAGTTATTATCACATGAAGGTCAGGCAGAGAGACGAGATGAGAAAGAACTGCACAGTAAATTAATGCCAAGGTCTGAGCTTGATTGAGGGATTGAGGGTTCATACAGGCTTGTGACAATTTCAAAACAAACAAAGAAATGACTCCAAACAAAAATAAATAAAAAGAGGGAGATGCATGGACCCACAATGAGAGTTTATCATGACCAAGGACTACGACCTATCTAATTCTGTGCGCCAGAATTGCAAAGAAGTAAAAATGTAAATGAGGGGCCGTCCCCGTGGCCGAGTGGTTGAAGTTCTGCCCGGTCCACTTCAGCAGCCTGAGTTCACTAGTTCGGATCCCAGGCATGGACCTACACCACTCACCAGCCATGCTGTGACAGTATCCCACGTACAAAAAAATAGAGGAAGATCGGCACAGATGTTAGCTCAGGGCTAATCTTCCTCAAGCCAAAAAAAAAAAAAGAGGAAGATTTGCAACAGATGTGAGTGCAGGGCAAATCTTCCTCAGCAAATAAAAAAAAAAAGTAAATGAAATCAGAGAAAGCGATTGGCTCAATGCTATTAAACAACAATAAAAAGTTCCTAACGTAGACATCAACAAATCACAATATGTGGCCCTTATTTAAATCTTAATTCAAATAAACTATAAAAAGAAAATTTGACATTTATAAGGCAATTGGAAATGCCAACATTGACTAGATATTTTGATGATATTATGGATTACTGTTAATTTTTTTAGGTATGATAAGGTATTATGGTTATATTTTAAAAGTGTCTTTATCTTTTAGAAATACATATTGAAGTATTTATCAATGAAATGATATGATGTCTAGGATTTCCTTCAAAACAATATGGGAGAGAAGGGAAATAGGTAGGCAATAAACGAAAAAAGATTGACCGTGAGTTGATAACTGTTGAACTTGGGGGATGAACACATGGTAGTTCAGTATACTCAGTCTGTTCACTTTTGCATATGTTTGAAATTTTCCATAAGTTTTTTTAAGTTCCTAATTTTCTGACTCAAAATAATTTGCATATTTTGCATAGTTTAGCAATACTAAATTTCTTACATTTCATTATAATAATGTGAAATATAATAAATTAGTAACGACTCAAGTTGTCTTTAAAACTAAATATTATGGATATTGCACTTTAAGTACTTAACATATTTTCATAAACTATAATCTGACCAGACTTTAATGTTGAGCTAGAATCATCCCTGGTATTTACAACTGGTGTTAAAAGAATGGGCTTCCTAGGAAATGCGTTAGATGGGTCAGGATCTGTATCAGTCCTCCCTACACCATAAATACTCAGAATTGCCATCTTTTATTTTGTGTATTTCCGAATGTAAGTTGGAAGAACTGATAATCAATTGCTTGGCCATCTAATAACAGCTTGTTGTTCCCTTTCCTAGTACACAGTGACAGTCACAAAAGCACTCTGGTGAGTTCCAGTTATGTTGCACCAGGGAAAAGTGGATGTAGAGTTCATTCCACATATACTCAAGGTCAGATCTCTGCAATTCCCTTTCTTCAGTCATGACAGCCAGATGGCTTAGCATGGAGATTTGGAGCCAAGGGCACGAAGAAACTTCTGAAGAGCAAAGGCCAAGCTTTAATGAAGGGCTGAGGACTCCACCAGGGATGCTGCCCATAGAGAACTGCACTCTAAATGTGACTGTACTCACTTGTCAAATTCAGAGAGAAGGAAAGTAGAAGACTAGTTACCAGGAGCCTGGGGGAAAGGAGACCGGGGAGTTATTGTTCAATGGATACAGATTTCACTATGGGATGATGAAAAAGTTCTAGAGATGGACAGTGGTGATGGTTGCAAACAATGCAAATGTACTTAATGCCACTGAACTGTACGCTTAAAAATGGTTAAAATGGCAAATTTTACATTATGTATATATATTTTTTTAAAGATTTTATTTATTTTATTTTTCCCCCCAAAGCCCCAGTAGATAGTTGTATGTCATAGCTGCACATCCTTCTAGTTGCTGTATGTGGGACTCGGCCTCAGCGTGGCCGGAGAAGCGGTGCCTCGGTGCGCGCCCGGGATCCGAACCCGGACCGCCAGCAGCGGAGTGCGTGCAAGTACTTAACCGCTAAGCCATGGGGCCGGCCCTACATTATGTATATTTTAAAAAACAAAAAATTTTTAAAATTAAAAACTGTACTCACATTAAATCCTGAAAGGTCAATGGCAATGGCGGGTTCACCATCCCGGTCACCTTTAGGTGCAATCTGATTAAGCAGATGAAAATATGCTCTTGAATCCTTCAAGGAAAGAAATGAAATAGAATTTTAAAAATGAATAAAATCATCATTGGATTTAGGAAAAAAGTGCTCCAACTGAAGAAACGCCTTAATCTCAAAGAATGGAGTAATAACTTAGTAACTTTATTTATTACTTGTAGCTTCCTGAATGCACTATGCTGTTTCACACTTCAGAGCTTCTAGCAACACTGTTCCCTACACCAGAATACCTTTCCTCACCTTTTTCATTTGTTTACACTCCCAAGCATCAGCATCAATTAAGATTAGGGTCAAGTATCATCTTTTGGAAGCCTACTCTGGTTTCTCTAGATGAATTAAGGGCCCTCCTCTACATTGCACAGCACCCCATGCCCACCTCTATAAATAAGCCGTGACCACATTGTATTAAATCATCCAACGAAGTCTTCTCCAAAGATGGCTATCATAATTCTGCCCTGTACACACATGAGCTCCTCCCATCAAAAGGCAGAATCTATTTTCCCTCCTCTTTAACTTAGACTGGCCTTGTGACATGCTCTGACCAACAGAACGTAGTGAAAGTGATGTCCTGGGGCTTCCAAGCGCAAGCCTGAAGAGCTTCTGCTCCTTCCCTCTTGAAGTTAGTCTCCACGCACAAGTCCCACTATCCGAGATATCCAACATGACGCTATGAGGAAGCTCCAGCTCGCCATGTGGAAAGGCCTCACGGAGAAGCAGTGAGGCACTAGACACGTGAGGGGTGCCCTTGAGCACCCCTTCCAGACCAGCCCAATTGACAGCTGAATGCCAATGAGTTAGTGACCCAAACCAAAACTACCTGAAGCAAAACCACTCAGCCAAGCTGCATTAAGCCACAGAATCATGAGAAACAATAAATCATCATTTTAAGCTATTAAGTTTTGAGTGGCTTGTTATATAGCAATAGATAACTAAAATACCATCTACTAGATGTTTATCTCCTGTGTAACTGGTAAGCTTCTCAACAGCTGGGTCTCTGCATCCCCCATGTCTGGCATAATGCCTCACAGGAGGGGTTTAACAAATATCTGATGAACCGAATTTTAAAATAAGAGAGCCCTTCAAAATAAAAATTTAAATTGAGTATATAAGAGAGGAAAGCAGAGAAATACAATGTCACTTCAAAGAGAGATTGTCATTTAGGCCATCGTGACAAAAACATAACCTGACTGAAAGTGTTAATATATCTAAAGAGAAAATACGAATTAATGCCAACACTGATTAGTCTGGGGGAAAAAGAAAACATTGAGAAGAAATCATAGGGACCCAAGGTGGCAATGTCTGTCTAGGCAGCGACCACGGGAGAGTTATTGTTAGGCAGACTGAATGTTATGGTTTCCTTGACAAGGCTCTCCCAGTAGGGAGCAAGTGTTTCAAGTTACTTTGGTGGAGAGACGTACCTGAAGACCTCCTTTTGTCTACTGATTCCCTTTGCCCTCAGATAACTTGGCTTCCTGTTAGCTTGTTAGTGGCAAAGTGGGAGTAACAATGTTGAACTGGTCAGGCCCACAAGGACCTCTAGTCCAGCAAACAGATGTGTTTCTCAGTTCAAATTAACAGACTGATATCCTCATTATAATTCAGTCTATCTGTGGCATATAAAATGGGAAAGAATGCTTTAATCTGCTAATGCTAGTATCTCCGCCCTCTCACAGCCAGTTGTATTTCTTATTAAAGGCCAATAAACCAGCTTTTTTTTTAAAATAAAAGATTTTGTGACTATAATTGGGGGATCCACCTCGGAAAGAGAAATGCAAAATTTCATTCTCTTGTGTCCTTGTGAATTAAACTTCAATTCAAATTTAAACCTGAACCTCTTTTGTTTTTTACATTCTACATCCATATTTTATGTGACAAATTTGAATATTAAAATATGAACCTTAATGTCTTGGCTGAAGTTGCTGATGGTAGGCCATCCGGCATTGGTCAGATGGTAGTTCACCCACTGCAGCAGTAATTCCTCTGGAGAAAGCTTCATCAGTCCTTCGAGGTCCTCACCTTCTTTTAGCAATGCAATCAGAGCTGAGAGGAAAACATTTTTGAAACATAAATTCTTTCGATCATAAGTATATATCAATGAAATGTAAATATTTTTGATGATCTTACCTTCATTCCTGGAAATCTCAATATCAGCAAAAAGACCAACTTTGATGATCTGCCAGAGAAGTCCCAAGACCAAGTGAGGTTTTCCTTCTTTGAGATCCTGTGCACCAATGTTGACCACTGTACAACCAATGGCTGAGGCCGAATTCAGGGCCAGGTTTAAATTTTCCTGAATTGCCACAAAGAAAAATACATCAGGAAGTACTTTCTAAAGTCTTATCAACAAGTTGTGAAGGTAAATAAAAAACAATGAATTGTGAAATTTCAGATTTTTAAACATAAGTAATATTTATACAAGCAAAATATCACTACTCAAAAAAAAGAATCCCACATTTTAACTATCACCTCTATACGCCAATGACTCTCAAATCCATATCTTCTCCAGCCCAACTTCCTCCCAGCCCCACTCTAAGCTCTACACCGATATCCTCACGTGGTTATGTCCACCCAGATGTTCACAAGTACCTCACACCCATGTCCAAAACGGAAGCAATGTTTTTGTCACGCTTCGCTGGTCCTCCTCTAATCCCATTAGAACTGGCTTTTCCTTATTTATTTCCTGTCGTGGTCAATAGGACCAACCTTCATTCTTGCCTTCTTTCTTCCTAAGTTAGAAGTCTGAGCAGAATCCTTGTTCTTCCTTGCCTCCCACATCTAGTCACCAATTTCTGTCGATTCCACCTTCTAAATACCTCCGGAAACTGTCAGTGCCTTTCTTCGAGTTTTTTAATTCCTTGCTAACACCTCTCTTCAGACTTACTCTACAATGCATCTTCCACAATACTCTGCTATCAGTGATTTTAGTAAAATGTAAACCTGATGGTGATCCCTAGCTTTAAAGACTTTCAAATGTTCTCCGTCACTCCCACTATGTCCTCTTACTCACTCTGTGCCAGCTATACAGAGCCTATGAACCGGCTATTCCCTCTGCTGCTATACACTTTCCCCAAATACCCACAATTCCTTTAAGACTGCCCCAATGCACCTGATCTGTGAAGCCTTCTCTGATTATCCTACACAAAATGGCAAGCATCACCACAACGTCTGCTGGCCCTCATTAGTCCTATTTTACTCCTTATCATTCTCTGACATATACGTACATGTTTATTATTAAATCTCCCCCAATTAGACTATGAGCTCGATGACAACAGAGGTTTTTGATACGTTCATGGCTGTTTCCCCAGGACTTAGCAGATGGTATATGCTCAATAAATATTTATTGAATAAACGATGAATGGGTGAGAGTTTGTGAAGGCATGGAGAGAACGCAGAGGGTCAAGTCCAAATCCTTAGTATGGCAATCAAAAACCTTTAGGATTTGACTCTGGTCTCATCTCTCAACACTTCACATATACAGTCTATGCTTCAGCCAAGGTAGAAGGGCCTTTACATATGCTTTTCCCTTGGCCTATAATGTTCCTCTTCCTCTAAGTCATATGCTCATCCCTTCTATGAAGATTTTCCTGAATCATCTCCCCCCCACCACAAAATTAGTCACTCTCTCCCCTATACTTTCATAGTGCTTTGCATACACACGAAAGGAAAAAGGAAAGAGGGAAATTATTAACATTATATTTAGGTAATATTACATTATATAAATATTATATTTTAATGACATTCTTATAGATATTTCAGTACTATCAGTTTATTAGTGTTGGGCTAATGATTTTTTTATTTCTATAAAGCCCCTACTTGGAAGCACTTCTTTAAAATATGATGTGCAATTAGGTTTTAACTCCAGAGAATTTTAACTCTTAAAATTTTAACTCTTAACTCTTAAAATTCAGAGGTTTTAACTCTTAAAATGGAAGCAGTTCATTAAAGGCTTTTGGGCATCGAAGGACAATATCAACAAAAGGATAAGGCGCCCACTGAATGGGAGAAAATATTTGCAAACCATATCTCCAAAAAGGGATCGATATCTAGAGTATATAAAGAACTCCTACAACTCAACAACAAAAAACCAAACGACCTGATTAAAAGATGGGCAAAGGACATGGATAGACATTTCTCCAAAGAAGATATACAAGTGGACAATAAGCACATGAAAAGATGCTCAACATGACTAATCATTAGAGAAATGTCCATTAAACCAATAATGAGAAACCACTTCACACCCATTAGGATGTCTATTATTAAAAAAAAAAAATAAGGGGGCCAGCCCGGTGGTATAGTGGTTAAGTTCGCATGCTCCACTTCAGCAGCCCAGGGTTCGCAGGTCCGGATCCCAGGCACAGACCTATGCACCGCTTATCAAGCCATGCTGTGGCAGGCGTCCCACATATAAAGTAGAGGAAAATGGGCATGGATGTTAGCCCAGGCCAATCTTCCTCAGCAAAAAAGAGGAGGATTGGCAACAGACATTAGCTCAGGGCTAATCTTCTTCACCAAAAAATAAAAACAAAAAAATAAGTGTTTGAGAGGATGTGGAGAAACTGGAACCCTTGTGCATTGCTAGTGGGAATTTAAAATGGTACAGTTTTTGTGGAAAAAGACATGGCAATTCTGCAAAAAATTAAACATAGAATTACCATATAATCCCACAATTCCACTTGTGGGTATATACCCAAAAGAAGTGCAAGCTGGGACTGAAACAGATATTTGTACACCCATGTTCATAGCAGCATTATTTCACAATAGCCAAAAAGTAGAAACAACCCAAGTGTCCATCCACAGATGAATGGATAAACAAAATGTGGCATAGACATACAACAGAATATTACTCAGCCTTAAAAAGTAAGGGAATTCTGACATATGCTACAACATGATGAACCTTTAAGACATTATGGGGCCGGCCCCGTGGCTTAGCGGTTAAGTGCTCGCGCTCCGCTGCTGGCAGCCTGGGTTCGGATCCTGGGCGCGCACCGACGCACTGCTTCTCCGGCCATGCTGAGGCCGCGGCCCACATACAGCAACTAGAAGGATGTGCAGCTATGACATACAACTATCTACTGGGGCTTTGGGGGGAAAAATAAATAAATAAAATTGTAAAAAAAAAAAAAAAAGACATTATGCTAAGGAAAATAAGCCAGTCACAAAAAAAAACCAATATTGTATGATTCCACTTAATTGAGGTATCTAGAGTAGCCAAATTCGTAGAATGATGACAGCCAGGGGATGGCTGGGAGAAGGAAATGAGGAGTTAGTGTTTAATGGGTATAGAGTTTCAGTTCAAGAAGACAAGAACAGTTCTGGAGATGAATGGTGTTGATGAATGCACAGCATTGTGAATGTATTTAATGCCACAGAACTGTACACTTAAAAATGATTAAAATGGTAAATTTTATTTTATATATATTTTACCACAACAAAAAAAAACTCAACCAGCTTGAAGGGGCTCTCTATGGCCAAAGCTGGGACAATTTGAGCACCAAAATAATTAAGCATAGCAATGACTTAAGCCACAGAAAAGACAGGAATTCTTGAGTCCATATCAATAACAGTGAGAGACAGAGAGGGGGAGTGGGGAGAAGGAGAAGGTAAGGCGTCTCTTAGTTACAGCAGAATGCCAAGTAAATGACTGGTACATGTGGAGGGAGTGCTAGAGTTGAAAAAAACATCATTTTTCAACCATCACAGTAAAGACTAAATTAGGAAAGAATTATAAATGCATATTAAATCTAGGGAGAAATTCTGTTAAAGAGCAGGATATTTGCATAGTTTTCAAGTGTCTCCCCACAAACTGTTTATTAGTTGTGAGGGAGAAAAAGAAAACAGTAATCATACAGTAGAAACACCGGGTAACATTTTGACCTGATAATAAAAATTAACATCAACTATGATGGACAAATAGGTATCTTGCGCCTCTAAGTATACAAATTTATGAACTTGATAACTGTGGTAATAGAACATCCCTGTTCTTGGTAAATATATGCTAAGGAATTCATGGGTAAAGGGTCATGAGGCCAGTAACTTATCCTCAAATGGTTCAGAAAAAAATGTGTACACACAATGGGCGTGAGAGAGAACGTGTGTGCATCCACGCAAATGTTAAAGCAAATGGAATAAAACTATTAACAATAGTTGAATCAAGGAAAAGGGTATATGAGTATTTTTATACAGTTTTTAGTTTTGCAACTTTTTGTAAGTTTGAAATTATTTTCAAATAAACCTAAAAAAAGGGTAACTCTCACTCTAAAATGTTTTTTTTACCCAAACATGCCATTAATTTTAATCTACTGGCTTAGCTGAAGGCAAAATTTATTTAATAATATCAACTTGTCCTTCAGTTGTCATCTATTAATGCCGTATCAGTGACCAGAAATACAAATATAAAGAAAAAGAACTACAACCAAAAAAAACAGTTTGGGACAACATAAGGCAGTAAATTGGAAAAGACACTGAATTAGAAAAATTTAGGGTTATCTTAGCTTTTAGCTTTTTTGTATTCCTTCTTCAAATTTCTTCCCTAGAAATAAATGCATAGTACGTACAGAGGATTTTTTTTCCATCATCTTTTGGAAAAACACAGGGGCCTGTTTACTGCTGGGCCTTGTTTTTGTGGCCATTTAATGGTGATAAATAATCTACCGAGTCAGACTTTTAAATCACCAAAAATAAGAAGAAGTAGTTTTAAGAGCCAGGGGATTTGTTGTTAATTGTGTTTGATTTGCTTTTGGGAAAAGGCAGAGATTGTCTCTTCCTCTTTTAATTCTACGTTATAAAGGGATTAGTCAACGTTTGGGTGGGGGCCCTGCTCCCACAGTTTGTTTAAAATTTTAGGTTTTATGTTTACTAGTCAGAAGCTATACAAAGGTTGACGAAGCACAGTGAATATTTCAGTGGCTTCCTCTTGCAGCACGCTGAAGCAATTTACCTTGCTGGGCCCCAAGTAAATGGCTGTATCTCTTGGGGATCAGTCTGGGATAATTAAAGTAAGCATTTGGAAATAAGTTATTTTTGTAGTGGTATTAAGCAATATTCATTTAAATATAGTTTTTCCAAAGAAGGCAGAACTAAATACCTTTCTATATCTTTATAACCTCACAATTCATTACAAATAAACATGACAAACATGAAATTATCAGTATATTTCAAATATTTTATGGAAATCATAGAAGATTTTTAAAATCTTCAGATGCGTTTGTTACCTTAAATTAAATCAATATAATTTTCAAGGGGCAGCCTCGGTCAATTTAGGCTTGACCAGTAATATTTTTCTAACTTCTCTTCCAAGAGCATAAAGGATGCTCTTGTTCCAATTGTGATTCCCCAGAATGCATCAGCAAGGGAAAGAACTAGACTGAAAATTATTCCAGTAACAGAATTAATCTCACAATGACCCATTTCATACGCATTGACATCATGGTACTGTGGCCAAAAGAAGTATATAAATTCATTGTAATAACTAGTGAGAACCAAAACCTTCTACCACTACCCTGAGCCTGGACACTGACAAGGAAACCACACCTTACTACCTACATTAACATGACTGTGCTATTCCTCTGTCTTCACTGGCATGACTTAGTTTCCTCTGTCTTCATTAGCATGACTTTATTCTTCTAGGAGAAGAAGGCAAAAGGTATGATTGTTCATTGCAGGCACTGCTTGAAAGACCCATCAACTCTTCAGTAGAAAACATCAATGGACAGTTTATAGGCTAAGATTCTATGACTCCCTCACCTTGAAATCCTCGTCTTGCTATTTCCACCAATCCTGATTGTTGTATCATGATCCTTACCCAATCCTAATCAGTCTTCCCTCTCCCTCACACTGAAAGACCCACCTTAAACCACAATTCCAAATCTCAAATTCTGACTTCACCTTCCCAGCTCCAAGACACTGCCAGGGCTTTGCAGGTGGTGTTTTCTCTTACTGCAGTAAGCAGTAAGACTCAGCTTTGTCTTATCAGCATCGTGTTTGTGATATATGGAGAAGCATCCTTTGACAATCATTTTATTAAAAATGTTGGCTTTAGGGCCGGCCCCGTGGCTTAGTGGTTAAGCGCACGCATTCTGCTACTGGCAGCCCGGGTTCGGATCCCGGGTGAGCACGGACGCACCGCTTCTCCAGCCATGCTGAGGCCACGTCCCACATAGAGCAACTAGAAGGATATGCAACTATGACATACAACTATTTACTTGGGCTTTGGGGAAAAAAAAGGAGGAGGATTGGCAATAGATGTTAGCTCAGAGCCGGTCTTTCTCAGCAAAAAGAGGAGGATTAGCACAGATGTTAGCTCAGCACTGATATTCCTCACAAAAATAAAAAATAAAATAAAATAAAAATGTTGGCTTTACAAGTCTAGTAAATGACTTATAAGAAACCAGCTAAAAACATAGATTGAAAGTAAGAGGCTGAAATGTGCTTCTTCAAACAAATGGTAGTTTCTGATTGGTAAATACATTTTTGCCCTACTAGTAAGTAGGGAAAAGGATGACACCTAATGTCTAAAGTCAATGCTAAACATCTTAAGAACACGAAGTAACAGAAGAACCCCACAAAGAAGTTGTTCTCCAAGTCTTAAGAGAGCCAACTGCCCTGAGTGCTCAACCTTCCTTCTGAAGACCTGTGTTGGTGGGGACAGACAAGGACAACGGGAACCTCCAACAACTGGGACAGGAGAGAGGTGTTGTTCCTCCTTGTGTTTCAGTGTCCTAATCTGTAAAACACATCTTACCTTACAGAAATATTAGCAAAAGACACAAGCAAACAGGGCAGTTTATCCTGGATTAGCCATTTATTCTCTCATCTTTTTTGTGCGTCAATGAACTGTCTGTGCCTAAGATAAAGCCCACTTTATCAGGCAGAAAAATTTATACTGCTGTTGTAGACGGCTTCTCATGTCCCTTCTATTCTGATTAACTATCCAATTCTTTACTAACAGTCTCAAATAGGTGCTGCAAGTTTTCTTTCTTTTAATTCATACCACTTTGCAAATTTTCATTTCCCTTAAAGTTTCGATTCCAGATGAGTTCACGTTTGTTAATGATTTTTAGAGGGCTGTTCTATATACTTATTGGGTCAGGAAGAATAAAGGCATGCTTTGCTATTCAGATTTCGTCCTTATTTTACATATCATCACTTTTACTCCATTTGGAATATCCAAATGAGATTTATATTTTCCTTACTTAAACTGTAATTGTACCTACGGTGAAATTAAGGTCATATATATGTGTGCACATTTATACATACGGAAGTATAAAGTACATACATATATATTTTGTATGTGTGTGAGTATATTAATTGCACAAGATTTTTTACATGTTATAATGAGCAGATTCAATTTCCTATACCCTATATACCCAACTTCCTATATACAGGAAACTCTTGTGTTAGTTTCCTGACTTTTAGTTCCCTAAATCACTACCACCTGTTTTTCAGAGTCTTATTCATATAATTAATTTTTCTTTCAATAATAATAAACAAGCAAGATAATGCAGCTCAGTAACACACTGGGTAGAAGAGGAGAGATGAAAAAGTCTCCAAGATCCTAATATATGAAACATAAATGAGTCCTGCTCTTAACTACTTGATCTACCCCTTTCCCTTGCTTTCAGTTATTGTATGTCATTTTCATCCTTTCATATTTCTCTTCTTTCCATCATCATGATACTTCACAAACCTATCATTATGAGGTGAAAAACTATATTATCACAATCTTTACAATCTGTTACAAATGAATTAGGCTTCTTTGGGATGAAGTTTCATGGGAAACTGTTAGTTTTCTAGTAGATCTATTTCCAGACTTCTAAAATTACTGAACAAGACAGATTTAATATCCACAGTAACACTCTGCCCCTTCCCAGAGGACTGTCTTTTCTCATTCCACATTAGTACACTCTTTCAAGCATTCTAGAGACCTAGGCTATTACCCTCTACTCATACTGGAAGAACACTACCTCTAAAAATAGAACTGTAAAAGACATAGCCCCTCAGATCCATCATATAGCTACTGCAAAATAGTTACAGAATATTTTTTCTTTATTTTCTTTAATGCACTGCATAGAAGTCTTAAAACTAAAATCAAACGATAAGTTTATATAACAGTAAGAAATGCTTTATTTCAGATTCAGTGCCATAAAAACGCATTGTGTAACACATGTATTCTAAAAACAAAATGTATATAAATATTTTCAACAATCATAGATATTAGATGAAGCATCCTGACACGAGATGTAAAAGAATATAAACTTCCGGAAATTGCAATCAGAAATGTGCTTCTTCAAGAAGGTAGTTTCTGCTAGGGATATGCAACATTATTGGCTTATTGGAAAGTGGGGGACAAGAAAGTCAAGTTAGTCAACATCTAATCCTATACTTCTTAAGGATAACGGGAAATGGGATACCCCTCAAACAGCCCAAGACTAGCCATGTACCACTGCCCTAAGAGTGTAGCTTCCTTATAGAAGAGACTTAACATCTTGAGCAAAATCAAGGATTGTACTTGCCAATAGAAATGAAGGAAACAGCTTAGCAGTAGTTCACTTTTAGTAGCTACAGTTGTGACTAGCACATTAACCCGTTGTTATTCCTACCACCACATGAGAGTGGGAGGCTAGCACAGTGATTAAAAGGATGGGCTCTGGAGCTGGACCACTGGGATCATGTCCTGGCTCTGCCACTGAGTAACCTCCCAGTGCCCCAGTTTACTCATCTGTAAAGTCATAGTATCTTCCTTATTTTAAGGCTTCTTGGAGGAGTCAAAGGGATAATTTATGTAGTGTGTTTAGAACAGTGACTGGTACCTAGTAAGTCCTTAGTAAATATTGATATCCACTCACTGATCTAGAAATTTTGAGAGAAAAAGTGTGGTGACTATAAATTCCTGGACTTTAACAAGATCTGAATGGAGAAGCTAACTTCAGAAAAATATAGTACAAAAAATAGCTCACAATTCTGTGAAATGGTAAGACGTGGTAAAGTTACACAGTACTCTTATTTCAACCAACCAACAAGAACACTGGCATCAAGCAAATATTCATTAATAAAAATAACTCAATAATTACAATAATATAACCTGAATACTACTATCTTAAGAAGTTCATCCAGAGTGCTTTGAATCTTAATTTCATTCATTACAAAATGCAGCTGAATTTTCATTTCATAAAAATCTAGTTTTTATAGGAAACTGAAATTATGTTAAATCAAAGATTTTGCCTGGGCCTAAACATCCATTAATAAAGGCCTTACACTGTACAGCACAGTAACACGATTACTAGCAAAGGGCAAATATACTCACTGAAATAGTGAAAGGGGTGAGCTTTTTCTTATTAATGGCTCTTTCATCAATTGTATCTGGTTCGGATAAGTTGATCATTTTGCTAAAGAGAAAATGGAAATAATTTAGCTTAAGACTTCCCAAAATGTTTTTAGTTTATTTCTGCAAGTACATAAAATAGTTAAATTTTGAAAAGCAATGACAATCCATTTCTTTAAAATATTATACTTTAATCGATGTCAAGGACTTAATTTTTAAAATCTAAGAAATAATCCCTAACCTAAAACAAATTCATCACTCACTGCGATAGTAATCTTAGCATTTCCTCCTAATTTTTTTAAACAGTTCTGCATTTTCTTTACGAGAGTTTTGCCTTTATTTCATTTAATGATCATCAACATTCAGCAGCCTGAAACATGAAGAAAGAAATTCTCAGGAAGCCAAGTTTCATAAATTAGTATCAACATTGTTAAAATTACTGCTTTTGCAGAAAGATAAAGAGACAGAAACTTGGTCTTTTTTTTTTTTTTTGTGAGGAAGATCAGCGCTGCGCTAACATCCATGCTAATCTTCCTCTTTTTTTGCTGAGGAAGACCGGCTCTGAGCTAACATCTATTGCCAATCCTCCTCATTTTTTTCCTCAAAGCCCCAGTAGACAGCTGTACGTCATAGTTGCACATCCTTCTAGTTGCTGTATGTGGGACGCGGCCTCAGCATGGCCAGAGAAGCGGTGTGTCAGTGCGCGCCCAGGATCCGAACCCAGGCCGCCAGTAGTGGAGCTCGCGCACTTAACCACTAAGCCACGGGGCCGGCCCATCGGTCTTTCTAAAATTTCAATAATTCCAACATTTTAAAAGAAAGTAATATAAATTTTGTCTCTGTAGTTTAGAATATATTTTATATTTTAAAATAAAGATAGGAAAATACCCATTCAATTCATAATAGGAATTTCCTCTGAAGGTCAGAGGAAGAGATCAGAATTGTAGGTGGAGGTCAAGGTATATTTTATAAGTAATGTCCTACAAATTAATAACCTATACTTGTGAGTAGGTTTTTTCTCTTTTTAAGTAAAAATACAGAAAAAGGACTGAAAGAAATGTGCCAGAATGTTAATAATAGCTAATTATGGGTGATAAGAATATTTGTGATGGTTATTTTCTTCTTTGTAAGTTTTCTGTATTTCTATAAACTTAAAAAAAAAAAAAAAAAAGACACCTGCCTTATACAAAGAAGTCTGCTGGGACTATAGCGCACACAACAAAGACACATGCCCTGAGAGAGTCTACAATCTAGTGACAGAAACAGGCTGCAAAGAGCCAAGGATACAACAAGGCTGAACTAAAACATTAATTTCATTTAAGCACATATGAGGTATATATTTCTTTTATATTTCCTCATGTTCCTGTCCCAGTCAATAATCAATACTCTCCTATTGAGAAGTGAAAAAAGAAACCCAGTGAACATTTTAGAATATATCAGAGGAATAACTCAACAGTTTCCCAGCATTATTCAGGAAATAGATGAAAAAGGCACCAGAAAAATAAGAGCTGCATTTGAAGGAAAATTTTGGAAAACATATAGCACTTAATTTTCTATGCAATATAAATTCTTCAAGACCTACGTAGCTACTTGTTAACTAATTCCAAAAGACAACGGATTCACTGAACTATCATTTTCACTGAATGCTCCTCAGTGGAGACAGTAAGAACATGGCTCCCTTCATCCAATGCTCAGCTCACCACAGAAGGATGCCATCTGCAAGCGACTTGAAAAGACTGCCATCATCGGGATCCATGGGGATGAGATGCTTGCAGTCAGGGTCATTCTCCAGGGCTTTGTTTATCCAGTTAACAAAAGCCACTTTTTCTTCCTCTGAAAACAGAAAATCTTAGTCGGCAAACCTCATTTCACAAAATTAACTGCACTACAAAAACGTACTTGTTAATTTTTGTTCAAAGATGATAAATGCTAACCATTAAAACTCTACTAAAACACTAAAGGGTTTAAGAGGGCTAAAGCGTTTAAGGAGAGAGGGAAATTCATTCCACTTTTTCATCTGATGTATTAGGGGAGAGTAAGGTATATAGCTGAACTGAGCATAATAAATATTCAGTGTGATTCTAAAAGTCTTTCCAAATATATATTGCTTCTGAAAGCTAATGAATCAGAAGCCAACCATCAGAAGTCAGATTACACACACACACGCGCATATGCCAGGGGAAAAAAATACAAGAAACAGCCATAGCAATAAATTCCACCACCACCACCCTCACAAAATTTACAGAGTTATGATTTGGGGCTTAAAACAGAAATACTGATTCTAATCAAGAGTTATTCAAATGAATAAAATAGTTCCATTTTTGTGGAATTTCTACTATGGGAAAACTGACACAAATCTGGACACCAGTACAACTCTCAGCCATCTGCATCCTCAACCTCTCAACACACGGCTTCTAGTGTGGGTACACTGATCTTTAGGCAGAAAATGCTGTCAGGCTACACAGTGGGGAAAACAGGAAGGAACTTAAAGGAAAAATGTTCTACTGCTTTATTATTATTCTGTAAATATAAATATCATTTAACAATATAAACTCTCAAAGAAAATAATTCACATTTCCATCACAGAGCAGCATAGAGTGAACTGTCCTTCCCCATTATTGCCCCAGTGCCTAGAATTAGGTAATTTTCGTAAGGGCATATTTGGCAGTTATCCCAAAAATTTAATCCATCACACACACACACAATCAATAAAGACAAAAACATTTAGTTATATTTCTCTTTTGTATATATCATAATCTGTCTTTTTACCTTCTTGCCTCACCATACATACCTCCTCAGGGACTTAGAATCTAGGAATTTAAAGATCACTCAGCTACTGTACCTCCCATCGAGGAATTTTTAGTGTAATAATAAAATAGATATACAAAGAAATGCAACATAAGGGAAATAAACACACCACAAGAGAGATATAAGCAATGTTTCAAAGAATTTAAAGAAAAATAATCACTTCTGGTTGAGGTGATCAAGAAAAGGCTTATGGAGAAGGTATTATTTGAAAGACAGATTTTTAATAGGTGAAGACAGGCAGGGAAAGGGAGGATGTTCCGGGTATAGGAACCAGGAATGAGATACCACTTCATAACCACTAGGATAGCTGTAATAAACAAAATGGATAATAACAAGTGTTGATGAAAATGTGAAAAAATTGGAACTTTTGTACATTGTTCATGGGAATGTAAAATGGTACAGCCACTTTGGAAAACAGTTTGGCAGTTTTTTAAAATGTTAAACATCGAGTTACCAAATGACCCAGAAATTCCATTCCTCAGTATATACCTAAGAGAATTCAAAGCATAAGTCCACACAAAAATGCGGACATGAATGTTCATACAGCATTATTCATAACAGCCAGAAGTGGAAACAACTCAAATGTCTATCAATTGATGAAAGGATAAACAAAATGTGATATTAATCCATAGAACAGAATATTATTCAGCAATAAAAAGGAATGAAGTACAATATATGCCACAACATGAGTGATCCTTGAAAACGTTACGCCAATGAAGAAGCCTGTCAAGTGAAAGGCCACCAATGTATGATTCCATTTATATGCAATTTCCAGAACAAGCAAATCTATAGAAATGGAAAGTAGATTAATGATTGCCCAAGGCTGGGAGAAGGGGGAAATGGGGAGTCATTGCTAATGAGCATGGAGTTTCTCTTTGGGGTAATGAAAGTGTTCTAAAATTAGATAGTGGAGATGACTGTAGAACTCTATGATTATACTAAAAATCACTGAATTGTACATTTTAAAGAAAAGGGCGAATTTCATAGTATCTCAATTATATCTCAATAAAGCTTTTCTTTTTTTAAAAGCCATTAAAGGTTCTATTTCTTGTTCTGAATAATAGTTACATGGGTGCATTCATCTGTGAAAAACTCATCAAGCCATATACTTAAGAATAGTGCACTTTACGATGTACATCTTACCCCTCAATAAACAAGTAAAAAAAAAGTCTATGGTAACAGACATCAGAAAAGTGGTTACCTCTGGAGAGGAACAGTTACTGTTAGAGGCAGGAGGGAGCCACTCAGGGTGACAGAAATGTTATATCTTGATCTGGTTGGCAGCTACACGGATGTAGCTACAGGATGTATACACACGTAAAAATCTATTGAGCTGTATACTTAAGATTACAGCACTTTGCTAAATGCACATTTTACCTCAATAAAAAGTTTTAAAAAAATGAAGAAGCCATTTCATCAGAATGGACAGGCAGAAATGGAGTTAAGGAGTGAATATTTTTCAAAAAATGGAAGCAGCAGTTATGGACCACTGCCTTTACCACCACACTTCCCTGGTGGGAAAAGATGAGAAAAAATATTCAATGGGTAGGAGAAGTGTGAGTATATTGTTAGAGGAAAATCCAGTTAGAAAGGAAGAGAATCAAGAAGATAACAGATTCAGATCTCAAAGGAAGAAAGAGGGAAAAAAGTTACGAGTTTTTGCAAAAATTTAAAAAGCATAGTTCTAACTGTGTTATTATGAACAAAGGGAACTTGGTCAAAGGTTCTTCAACATCTCAACCCTGAGAAGCTAGCTTAACATGGGGCAAGACAACTCAAGAGAGTTAACATGAGTCTGGATTTCCTACTGGGCGACAATCCAGTGATTGTATCAGATCAAGCAAATCAGGTGCTGTGCTCTCTAGTCACCTGGTTACTTGACAAAAGATGAATCAGGAATCTCAGCTCCCAGAAAATGGAAGGGAAAAGTCCTTGGAATAAACCCCTCCACCATTCCTAGATCAGGTCTACAAGTAAACACACATCACCAGTCAGGATGAAAAAGCCTGTCCTAGGGCATGATCACACACATTCAATGCTGAAATATAAATGACTTCTATGTTGTTGTTTCTAATCTCCTTGTTGCACACTGTCCTGACATATAGTAGAAACCTGTTGATTTCAATGATTCTACGATTTATCATTCTGACATCTCTGAAATTGAGATGCATTTCAAATTTGATGGCATGTTATAATTTAGTCTGATAAAACAATGATGTGAATTACAATGAATAGTATCTTTGATGTGATGAAATACAGGACTTGTTGAATGAATCAGTGACTGAAAGCTTATATTTGGAGTGGGAGGTTACCTGAATAAGAATGCTGTGTGCCCTCACTGGAGATGGACGAAGTTCCTCCAATAGCAGTAATCCCTTCCCTCTTGTTAATTATTTTTCGGAAAGTTTTGCTGATGTCTTTGCTTTTTAACTCTTGCATTAGCTGGAATGGGATATAAGCAAAATTGAGTCTTGATCGGATAATCATAAAAAAACCTTGCAACAAGAAGGACAGTTATTTAGACTTCTTTATTTGGAATGACATCAAAATAAATACTAATCAGGGGTTCTCACACTTATTGCTTGTGTGCATAGATAACTCTCATCATTTTGCCAATAATCCAAAAGGGACAAATGTTTCCACTCCAACCACTAAAATAAAATTTGTTATAATTAAGCTTAAATTGAACACATTGAAATTATTCTTCTAGACTTACCATGATCTTTTGACTGAAAACTTAAAGAATAACTAGCTACATGGAAGAGATTTTTAAAAACCTTAATGAAGGTATTTTCCTGTCTGAACATCTCAAATAGTATACACGCTAAAGTAAACAAGTCAGCTCTTATAAGAAATAACATGGGCTTAGAGAAACGCCCTCTCCCAATCACTCTGTCACTGGACTCTAGAGACTGGCTGGACTGAATCCCATCAGTTCTCCACACAGCAGCCTGATCATGTCACTTCACACTCTATCCCTCCCACTTTATTGGCTTCGTAACGCTCTTAGGATAAAACAAAAATCCTACGAGACCCTGCATGACTCGACCCCAACTTACTTCTCTAGCTGCATTCCGTACCCTCACCATCTCGTCTCCAGCCACAGCGACCTTCTTGTCAAGCACTCGAGAGTATCTAGCATCCCTAAAGCCACAGAGCCTCTGCACATGCTCTCACCTGTGCCTGCCTCGGATACTATTAGTTTCCCCCACCCCAGCCCTTTTAATCTGTTCAACATCTTTCTTCAGATCGCAGCTCAGTCTTCACAGCTTTCGGGCCACCTTGCCTGAGTCCCAGGGTTCTCCAGCCTCCCCATCAAGTTCAACTCCTCCTACTACAAACTCTCAAGGGATCTATACTGCTCTGTCATAGCAATTACCATGTTGTTATCTTTTATCCATTTGTGTGATTCTGTCTTCCCCACCACATGTAAAGCAGGGGCTACATCTCTTTTTGTTCATCACATATTCACAGTGGGTGGCACAGTTCCAGGCAAGAAAGGAGCTCAAATATTTGCTTAATGAATAAAGAATGCAAAACCAGACAATTTACATTTGATAAATATTGATTCAATTACATTAATGGTTATATTTTCATATGAAAAATACAGTCATGGTGGTGTTGAGAGGAGGAAATAACAGCCCTTGCTCAACTGCCAGCTGGCAATGGCAACTCAGCCAAGTCATCTCTCTTGGACTGAGAGGTTTGAAACACGTGGCATTCAAGAGTCCGTTCAACAATCTATTTTTCTTTTATTGGTCGAGTCATATATTATTTTTCATTTTGTTTAGCTCCCTGAGCCTTGAGGTAGTTTAATAGTGAAATGGTGCTACCAGAGCTGGCATCAAAAATCACCTGGTGCCATTTGCCGAAACTGAAGATAAAACTTATCAAAAGGAAATAACCAGTTTCTAAGAGGTATATCTTCCATACCTTAGCTATTTCACTTATAACAAATACTCCACTTCTCAAGGCCAACCACTAAGATATTAAAATATTCTGCACACAGAGATAGTCAATAAGCACCGAACTCAACTATAGTTTTATTAGGAAATGAACTACTATTGTTTAAACTTGACTTCCATTCCAACAATTTGAGAATTTTTTCGTTTCATGAATTATTTGTGGAGATTGTCGTTGTTGTTATCATCATCACCATCATTTTAAAGCAGTGCTTTTTCTGGTCTCTGCAGCCAGATTTAACCAAACAGAGCAATGACATTACTAAAATTCTGCTGAAGCAAAACAATCAGTAGTCAGGAGAGGATTAAATTACTTACTGACACGAACTCTTCAAAACTGATTTTGCCATCTTTGTTGCTGTCAGCAACTGCTAGAATTTTCTCCACAATCTCGCGCACCTTGTAGCCAGGCAGAGGAAGGTTTGCTTCCTTAAACAGGTCCTGAAGTTCATAGTCACTGACATACCCACTATTGTCAATATCTGTAAAGACAGATTATGAGCTGTCAAATATCATTTGTACTCTTTGTTGGAGATGTGCACTCAGAAGGCCTTTTGGGAGATTCCCAGGAAGGCGAAATCTTTCAGGTTTGTTTCACAAGTGGCAATAACCTCTACTTCTGCACCTGAACTCTACAAGGTATGCGATACAATTTATCAAAAAATGCATATTTAATGGACTTTAACCTGATAGTTTTAGGGCTACCATACGTATTTTTGGTCCATAGTACGGACATTGTTCTGAGAGATGAAAAACTCAGGTTTAGCACGTGACTAAGTTTCAAAGAACTAAGCATGGGGAAGTCTCAGATATCTAGAAGAAATATAGCAGCAATGGTCATGGGGGAACACCCACCCAGACTTTAATTTCTTCAGGTAATTTGCAAAATGGATATGCTGGTCTCACATTCCGTATAAAATATCTGCATCACGTCATACACACATAAGGCATTTCTGTTCTACATTTCACTTGGTGGCAGTTCTGTTTCATCTGTCAATAATTCATTGCTTCTTCATTATGTATTTATGATACCATTATGTAGGCTGAATCATGTTTGATGTCATTTTGAGATTAAGTGTTCAAGAAATAATTTCACACCTATATTTGAACTTGTGGAAATACGTTTCCAGGTGTTTTCACCTCATCACTGAGTTGCCTGCCCTTCCCTGGGTTTTCCCTAGAGAGTGGATATCGATTCTTGACACTGAACAAAGGCGACACCAAATACTTCTGCCCAGAGTTGGCAGCAGAGCTTTGGGTTGTTTGGTTAGTTGCCTAGATCCACCCTGTATAGGCTCTTTGCTCATCTGGTAACAGCTGCTTTGTTTCCTATATTTCCTTTTCACTACAAATGAATTAATGATTAAGAAAGAAACTTATCTTTCGAACTCTCATACACAAGTTTTAAAATTAATACTGTTCAGAACAATGGAAAATTTCTAAACTAGAATCTACCAATAACGAAAATATCGCTACAATCTCAAAAATCAGCTAGGAAGCTAAATGGCTTGACATTGCAGTAATCAAATCGCTTCCTTTGAATTTAGAGCAAAATCTCATTATTAGTACATCACCAGTTCAGAACTGTTTCCCATAATTCTGAAACAGACAAATAGACTAGGCTGGCTTACTTTTATTCTAGCGCTGTGGTGGGGAGTATATAAAAATAAACAAAATTGAGGAAAAGTTATTTACCTGCTGACCATCATGCTAAACTAACAAGAATAGTTAAGAGTTAGGGCTCTGAAGACGGACAGATCTGTGGGCTTAAATCCCAGCTCTATCTCTATGATCTCTGCGGTTTAGGCCTGAGGTGACAAGAAATAATAGAGACCATTTAAATGAGCACATATCCTGTGCCAAGTAATCTATTAAGAACTTGATTTACTTTATCTCATGAAATCCTTACCACACTTTGACGTAGTTAATAATATTACTATAATTTTAAAGATGAGGAAATCAAGGCTTAGGTTAAATAACCATAAAGATCACAGTTTAAAAATAAACAAGACTTTCCTACAACTCAACAACAAAAAAACAGATTAATAAAGGGCCAAAGGACATGAAGAGACATTTCTCCAAAGAAGATATACAAATGGCCAATAAGCACATGCTTGATATCACTAATCATTAGGGAAATGCAAATCAAAATCACAAGGAGATACACACTCATGAGAACGGCTATAATAAAAAATAAATAAATAAATAACAAGGGTTGGCAAGGATGTGAGGAAATTGGAACCCCTATGCATTGCTGGTGAGAATATAAAATGGTGCAGCCACTACGGACAAGAGTATGGTGGTTCCTAAAAAAAATTAAACAAAGAATGACCATATAATCCAGCAATTCCACTTCTGAGTATATACACAAAATGACTGAAAGCAGAGACTTGAACAGATGTTTGTACACCCATGTTCATAGTAGCATTATTCACAATAGCCAAAAAGTAGAACCAACTCAAATGTCCATTGATAGACGAACGGATAAACATAATGTGGTACAGACACACAATGGAATATTATTCAGCCTTAAAAAGAAAGGAAATTCTGACACATGCTACAACATGGATGAACCTTAAGGACGTTATGCTAAGTGAAATAAGCCAGTCACAAAAAAAACTAATATTGCATGATTCCGCTTACAGGAGGTACCTAGAATAGCCAAATTCATAGAGACAGAAAACAGAATGGTGGTAGCCAGGGGCAGCGAGCGGGAAGGGGGTAGATGGGGAGTTAGCGTTTAATGGGTATAGAGTTTCAGTTTGAGAAGATGAAAAAGTTCTAGAGATAGATGGTGGTGACAGTTGCCCTACAATGTGAATGTACTTAATGTCACTGAACTGTACACTTAAAAATGGTTAAAATGGTAAATTTTATGTTATGTATATTTTATCACAATTCAAACAAGAAACAAGACAAATATTTTAATCCCTTACTTCTCCCCAGAGACCCAAAAATACCCCATCTAGTAAGGTTGGATGGGTATGTCCCTCTGCCTCTGAGAACATTTGTGGTACAAATTAGCAGAGGGATTAGTAAATTCACAATTAGCAATTTATCTTTAATAAATGTAATAAAGTAAGCAAGTACATATTCTGCTCTTAGCACTTCCCTCACACAGAGCAAATAATCTTGCTGTCAGAATTTTTCCATCAATGAATTATTTATTCAAAATATCACTAAATAAATATTGCAAATTGTATGTGCATGAGTCATAAAGATTAAAGTTCATGTGCTAAACAAAGAAATAGATTACTAACTCATTCATTTTACTAAGACCTAGGTAGCACTTTTATTTAAGCTACCAAACTGTACCTGTAAAATAACAGAAATACCAAAGTAGGAGATACATTTTTACCACATCCTCTGTTTCACTGCTTGAAATGAGTAGAACATTCCAATAATTGCCCAATTTTTGTCTTGAAAAGACTCTGAGCACTGCATACAATACTCTATAAATTTATTATTAACAATTTTTTAGAAATCATACCATATTCATGCGATGCTCTAATGACAAATACACCACCCCCAAAAGAAAGAAAAGACCAGGATTAAAGCATTCGCTATGAGCCTAATTCAGCCACCATGTAGACTGTATTCTGAAGGTTTGAGTTACTCTGGGGGTGGCTGTGCAGGGAGAAGCGGAAGGGCCCAGAGGTGTGTGGAATTCACTTTATTTCACAGCAATGATTTGCAAGTCATGAGATTCCTGAGAGCTTTATTTCTTTCTTTCTTTATTTTTTGGAGAGCTTTATTTTTTTCAACTTAAACCTTTTTTCTCTGTATTGGTCTCTAAAATTCATTCTGCAATGCATTTCATCTACATTGATTTTAGTCATTATTCACCAGGTTTGTAAGAAATCTAGGCACAAGACCAACTGCGATCATTCTATCCCCCCCGGTCCACCATCTGACTCTGTTTTTCATGGGGCGCTCTCCTGCACTAGCAAAGGCGCCTCTGAGGAAGGGGCAAGGGTGGTGCTGCCCCTGTGCCAAAGTCTGTTCACTGCACTCACCTTCCCCTGGGCTCACCTTCCACTCGCACGCATTTGCATACTAGAGTAAAAGACGGTACTTGTATTCTCCTTGTTTGCCACAAGTTTCATAAATGCAGAAGAATCTCAATCCAACAGAGTATGAGGGAATTTTTTGGAAGAAAAATATAAAGTTGTCAAAATGATAATGTCACAAAGACAAAATATTGAATGGCTTTAAAAAGTGAAAGAAAAATAAGACATATGGCCTTTAAGAACAACACTAAGATTTTTTAAGTTATGCATGAGGGAGAAGGAAAAGAAGACATACGGCCTTGAAAAACAGTAGCAAAATTTAAAAATATTCCGCATGAAGTCAGAAAGTGTTATTGTTAGTGATAAACATATGAAGGCCAGAGTTCAGTTTATAGACAAGGAAGTGTTTGTATAGTTTTTCTCTGTAATAGGATATCATGTTAAGCATGTTCAGTTACACTGTCATTCATTAACCTGGGATTATTCTCCGCAAAGAAATGATCAAAGAATTCAAAGTTCAATTCTCCTAGAAATTCAAGCCAGTCTTAGTCTATCTTTCAGAAAGAAAGAATCCAGTGAAGTCTAGATAGAAAAAAAAAAAAGGAATATACCTGGGGGTAAATGGGTGGTGGCAGAGGCAATAAAAGGTATTGTTCCCTTCCTGGAAGTCTGACATCAAGCAGAATAGTAACACTATATTTAGTTTTCCTCAAGCATACCTATTTTATTAAATGCTTCTTGTAGCTCTTCCAGCTCCTCCCGAGAAATGGTAGTGGTACTGTTTTCCATCTTTGGACAGGAAAGACTATCTTCAGGTCTTTATATCTAGGAAAAGCAATGTAATAAAAAGAACATGAGCCTTTTGGAAACATTGATCTGAGCAATACAGAGTACACGGGCAGTAAAATACCTAGAAGAAATCACCTAAGAGGTCTGGCTAACAAAGAACAAATAGGCATAGATCCCCCGGTACTGCTCTTTCCCAGCACAGGTCGGCCAGACAATAACTGAGATTCAGGAAAGGGAAGAAACGCTGTTTGCACACCCTGTGCTTACAAGGGGCATAGCCATTTCTCAATAGCCTGTATAACTGTCATTTACATTTTACTCCACTTTTTTAGTAAAATAAGCATTTTAAGTTGGAGAAAAGTGTAGCCTTTATAAATATAAAGGATGCAGTCAGAAAGTAACACTTTAAGATATGAATAATGTCCACAAAAAGAATAAAGGAAGCTAGAATCTGATCATCTTGGGATGGAGTTTGTGGCTTTACTGTTCAGCTTTATGATATTCAGCCACTGCCACCTCCTTTCCCTTTTCCTGTGCAAGGTCATTCCCAGATCGGTGGGGCCCTTCTTACTCTGAACAGGCGAGACAAACTAAAAAGAAAGAAATGATGTAAAACTGGGTTGTAAGAAAGTAAGCAGGTGGTATTCATCATAGAAAGTAACTGGTAACAAATGCTCAAAACAGAAAATTTAAATTATCCATAATCCTACTATCCAGAAATATCAACTAGTACCCTTCTGTTATCTATACCTTTCTGGTCAACTTTTCAAGTGCACCTGTGCCTTGTATGAGGGGTGGAAAAAGTGGGTATACTATGTTATAATTTTTTTGATTTTTTTGTACTAATACATTGTATGTTTCCATGTTCTGTATCAACATAATATCTAATGGCCACATATTACTACATCATAACTTATTTGGTAAATCCCTTGTTTCAGGGTATTTGCATTGCTTCCAGTTTTGCATCATAAATGATGCTGCCAATGAACATCCTTGTAGATAAATCTCTGTACATATCCGTGCTGATTTCTGTAAGATAAATATCTCAAGGTGGAATTACTTACATTTTTAAGGCTTCTGATCTGTAGCAGGGAAACTTTTATTTTTAAAATGACATAGTGGTTTGGCCATTCGATGTAAAGCGAAAGATGAATACAAACTGTCTTGTATTCCTCTTATATACACCTAATTACATTAGAGAGTTCATACGTATTTCAGAAAATAAATGAAAATAAGTGTTTTATAAGATAATAAGAACTGAAGCTAAGTAGGAAAGTCTTTTTTTATACATTTATATTTATATAGGAGGTTCAACATCATCCCTGAACATTTCTAACTTTTCAGGGAAGCACATTTTTGAAATATATATTAAAATTTTTCACTAAATCATTTAAAAATCATACTAAATTGTATGAAGTGCTCTAAGAGTATTAGCTCATTTGTCATTTGTGATCTGTATACCAACTTGTTTAGGGTTTTTGGTGTTCTTTCAAAATGACAGTTTTCTACCTCTTACAGTTATTCTGGGGCCTGGCTCTAATTAAATCTTTTGGTTTTAAAAATATATACCATTGCCCACTAATTAATTCTGCACTGTTTTAAAAAGAAATTTGAAGAGCTTAAGTCAGTGGAGTAGGAAAAAGGGATAATGGGGGCCGGCCTTGTGGCTTAGCGGTTAAGTGCGCGCGCTCTGCTAGTGGCGGCCCGGGTTCGGATCCCGGGCGCGCACCGACGCACCGCTTGTCCAGCCATGCTGAGGCCGCATCCCACATACAGCAACTAGAAGGATGTGCAACTATGACATACAACTATCTACTGGGGCTTTGGGGACAAAAAAGGAAAAAAAACCGAGGAGGATTGGCATGGATGTTAGCTCAGGGCTGATCTTCCTCACAAAAAAAAAAGGGGGGGTAAATGGAATTCATCTTCTTCCCTAGATGCAGTTTCTTGCATCTTAGCATTAAATGTTCACACTGTATTGAATTCTCCCTCTTAGAACATTCTTCTGAATTTAAAACTATTTATAGGCATAATTCTTTTGTGTTGAAAGAGATTTAAAAGTCCTTTTAGGATTTTTAAGCATAATCCTCCACGTCTGCAAAATGCTAATTCTGCCATGGCTGGCTTCGAGTCTCTGTGGTTTTGGTCACCCTGCATATCCTTTCCCATATTCAAAATGGTTTCTATCCTTTGCCTCAAATTTTAAAAATAGTGGTCCAATTTTAGCATTTGCACTCCACAGAAAGGCTGCAAATTAACAGTCCTTGTGTTGACCTGGCATTTGAAATGATAAATATACCTGGGGTTCTATTCTTTGCTCATGCCTATTCAAATTTGCATCATTTGTTAATTAAATAAAATATGTTTATTCTCCCAGAAGCAGGCAAAACTAGCACATAAACTTATTGAAAAAGCAATTTACCCATACAATATTATGTTTCTTATTTTTAAAGCTCTGTTTTTTAATAAATATAAAGAAGCTGAGCTTCAAGTCCTTCGGAGTGAAACAAACAGAAAAATACAGAACAATCTTCAAGATATACTCTTAAAAGAACAAAGCAAGGTGCAGAAGAGTAGTATCGTGGGGAAGGGGAGCTATATCAGTTGTATGTTTATAAAACATTTCCCAAAGAATATGAGGTAACAGTGATTGCCTCTCTGGGGGAAATGGAGGATTGGAGGCAGAGCGGCAAAGGGGCTTACTTTTCATCACATACTTTTTTTTTTTCATTTTTTTAAACTATAAGCTTACCCAAACCAAAAGTAACTGAAAAACAACAGAGGCAATTGTAGTAAAACATTGACAAAAATAAAATCGATACTAGTGGTCTGAAGGTACATATTACTGAATACTGATAGATAATAAGATTAATATTTACAGTACCTATTTATATGTTACAATTTCAAATAAAAGCACCTATATTTCCTTACAAAGAAAAATACTATGATTAAAATAGTAAAATAATTTATAGCTTACCACAAAGGTATGAAGATTTAGCAGCAGAATGGTTAATGGACCCTCTTTTACAAGTACAGACTCACGCATATAGTATTGATATTTTTCCGAGTATTTGCAAAATTATGAAAATGTTAGGATTCTTCAAAAACTAAGTACAGTATACGATGTACCTTAACAGGGACTTTGACCTAGTACAATAAACTTACTGGGAGCAACACATACTGTTGGCTAAGAAAATACAGTTGTTTGATTTGATAGATCAAAGACTGTTCTAGTTATATGATCCCCAAATAAACTACTTACCATGATGTTTTTAAATGAAAAAAATGTTTCTGCTACAAAAATACAGCCCTGACTTTTAAAAAATTTATGGAAGAGAATGTTTATCATCAACAAAAATTTCAAAATAGTATGTAATATTGTAGAAGAAAAGCTCAATGACCCTATAACTAGTGACCTCGTGTTTATTTTCCTTACTAGTCCCACACTCAGATGATTAATGAGCCATGCATAGTCCTAAGTGCCTTGTGTCCATTCTCATTTAATCCTCACCACTCCATGAGGGAGGTCTTGTCCCCATTTTGGCAATTGAGAAAGGGATGCGTCACGAAACTGAGTAACTTACTCAAGGTCTCAAAGTGAATAGCCTAGCCAAGCTGTCGCAGAACCCAACTGTCTCAGGGTTCTGTCTCAGGGCCCTCTAGGCCAGGATGCTCTGCAGTCTCCCAAATACATTCTGATATCAAGACATATAAATATATAAATATGTATTTGTATAAGAATTATACAATAATTTACATAATACATTAAGCATATATTATAAACTTGAGAAATAAGAAACTGCATTTTAAAAGGAATCAGCCTCTGTAACATTCTTTGTAAAGTTTCAGGGAAAAAATTCCAGCTAGATCAACTCATATTTATCACGCACATAACTTGTGAGTCTCAAAACACTCTAGAATACACCACTACTAGAATTCACTTTGCAATTTTAGAAATGAAGAGCACATCACTTAACCAGTACCCAGACACTTGGCATTGAAGCACACATACCTGGATGCCTGAGACAGAGAGGTGCCTGAGACAGCTCAGAAGAACAAAGTTTTCCAAAGTCAGCCCTGAAAGATGCAGCCCAGAGGCAGCCAGGATCACTGACCAGCGACCCACCAATGGGGCAGGTTATGCTGAATTCTGTAGATAGATATAGCTTCCCACGGATTTCGACATGTGCCCTATATTTCTTCAATAATTCCAACATTGCTTTCCTCCTCTGCTTTTTTTTTTTTAGCCTATATCATTTTAAGTGGAACCTTCTTTTACCAGTTAAAGTCTTTTTTTTCCTCTTCTAACCCTCAAGTGTACCCTGACACAACCAAATATATATTTGGAAAGTTAAGGAATATATTCTAAAAATGAAGTTCTCAATTTAGATGAAACTGGATCTGATCTTTTATCCTCCCTCAAATTTCTAACTTCTTTGAGCCTTTAAAAGCTTTACCAAAATTAGTCTAAGCAGCCCTTTATGACTGGCGGGTTCTATAGCCCTCCTCAGAACAAGATTTTGATGCCTTTCTGCCAACCCCAACGCTCCCAACCGGGAGGGACCAGAGCTGTCTTTAGGGACGGCTTTGGCTTCCTGGCTATTCCATTTTCCCTCCTCCCACAGTAGCCCTCGCCTAGGTCACTGTAGACTCTGAGTGGAGGCAGCCACTGACCCACGTTAGGCAGTTCTCCTCCTAGTCTATCCTCCACAATTCCCTTCTTCCCGTACTCTCTCTTCTCTGGGAATAGAAAAAATAATGGCAAATATTTACAGAGGGCTTTCAGTAGGCTGGGATTATGCTAACCTCCTCACACACAGGAGCTCACTAGGTTTTCATCTGTTCTTCTACTGATACAACAAGCATCCTCCCTTGAAATGTAAATTTGAGGCCTACATAGATTAGGTAACCTGCCCAAGGAAGGGAAGCAAAATAAGAGATTCAAAATCAAATCTGTTTCCAGTGCCCAAGCTCTCAAATTTTACACACAGTTCAATTATCATCCCTATTCTCTGACTGCCAGTATCGTAGGAGTT